AATGGGAGAAAATAAATAAAACCATAGCCATAGTCAAGAGACGTGCCCATGCTCCTCTATATATCCATAAGCGTATAGTTTTGAAATTGGGAGTTGAGGCATGAGTTGTGTTCTTTGGGTTGGGTGAAATTTCCAATCTTTTCCTCCCAAATTGAGAAGCAGAAGAAGAAATTTGTGAGGGGTAATCTCATGGAGGAGACCTTTGTGCCTTTCCGTGGAATCAAGAATGACCTCCGTGGGAGGCTGCTGTGTTACAAGCAAGATTGGACTGGTGGGTTCAGTGCTGGGTTCAGGTATATTCCGATATATGCACTCTTTAATTAATCTACTGCACCCAAAAAAAAAAGATCATTTCTTTGTCTTGGAATATTCATATTGTGTCTGGGAATATCAATTATCAGGATCTTGGCTCCCACTACATACATATTCTTTGCATCAGCAATTCCAGTCATTTCTTTTGGTGAACAGCTAGAGAGGAATACTGGTAATCTATACCACTCTCAATTTAATTATCATAGAACAATTTAGGGGCTCACTTATCACTTAAGAATTTGTTTTAAAAAAGGAAGTGCGACTTTTAAATTCTTGTAAGATAGAATGGTCATACAACGCCCTCATAAATCCAAGTTATATAGAATCCAACTTATTTTTTGTTGTTGGTTTGACAAAATTTTCATGTATAACTCGTATGGAGTAACTAGTAACTCCCTTCTTCTTCTTCTTCTTTTTTTGGAGAAAACTATAAAAGTGTTTGAGAAAAGACCATGTGGGATGGAGGGAGTAGCATGTATTGGAATCTCTCTCTCCACTGCAGTGGCTAAATTTAAGGTTTAAAAACATTCCGAGTCATAACTTGTTGACACTCATAGGATGACTTTCCATGTCTTCCCATCACAAATTCAACCGACCGTAGATGACTGTGGATAGAGAATCTTTGACCATTAGGAATATGGGTAGTGTGTCTATTCATTAATAACTAGAATGTACTGGAAATCTTGTAGATGGAGTTCTTACAGCTGTTCAGACGTTGGCTTCAACTGCGATTTGTGGCATTATCCACTCTATTATCGGAGGACAGCCTCTGTTGATATTAGGAGTGGCGGAGCCCACTGTTATCATGTATACATTCATGTTTAACTTTGCCAAACAAAGACCAGATTTGGGCCGTGATCTGTTCCTTGCATGGTCTGGATGGTTAGTGGCTTAGTGCTATAGTTATCCACACCTTCTAACTGATTCTCTTTTATACATGATTGAATCTGTCTGTTTTTATATACATATAGAGGTTTGATTTTGCCAGGGTATGTGTGTGGACAGCAGCTTTGTTGTTCCTTTTGGCCATTTTAGGAGCTTGCTCCATCATCAACAGGTTTACCCGCCTGGCTGGAGAGCTATTTGGGATGCTTATTGCCATGCTTTTCATGCAGCAAGCTATCAAAGTAAGAATAGCATGCCATTTCTTGTCCAGAATTAGACTCTCTTTGAAAGTGACTTGCCGAAAGTTCAACTGTTTTTTTGGGTGCAAAATACAAAAAAAAATAATCTTCCATACACATTTATATATCAGTGAACGCAGGCAGTTGAATGAAAATTTAAAAAAAAAGCATTGCATTGAGCCTACCGATGGGTTGGAGCCATTTCCCCCCTGTTTATGACCCTTAATGTTTTCTTTCCTTAGTCTTTTATGGGTTCCAAACAGACCCTAAACATGATTTTCTTAACCTTAGGGAATTGTAGAAGAGTTTCGCATACCGAAACGAGAGAATGCAAATTCAATAGAGTTCACGCCTTCATGGAGGTTTGCCAATGGCATGTTTGCTTTGGTTTTGTCATTTGGTCTACTCATAACTGCATTAAGAAGCCGAAAAGCAAGGTCGTGGAGGTATGGAACTGGTGAGCAGAAACCAATGTTAATCCAAAGGATTTTTCATTCACAAGATCGTACGCTGCTGTAATTCATTGATGTCTCATTCATTCATTCATTCATCATACTACAGGTTGGCTTAGAAGCCTAATAGCAGACTATGGGGTACCAATTATGGTGCTAGTTTGGACAGGGGTGTCATACATACCATCACAAAGTGTCCCAAAAGGGATTCCAAGACGTCTCTTCAGCCCAAATCCATGGACGCCCGGTGCATATGAGAACTGGACTGTTATTAAGGCATATTTCTAGCTAGTTCACTTATAATCACCTTTGTTTCTTTAAACCATGACATGGAGTACTTAAATTGTGTTATGCTGGTCCATGTGGCAGGAAATGCTGGATATGCCCATTCTCTACATATTTGGAGCTTTTATTCCTGCAACGATGATTGCAGTCCTCTACTACTTTGATCACAGCGTGGCATCCCAACTTGCCCAGCAGAAAGATTTCAATCTCAGAAAGCCAGCTTCTTTTCATTATGATTTGCTTCTTTTGGGGTTTCTGGTATGCACAAATAACAGCATGTCTTTGATAACTATGAATCTTCTGGTTCTTGATATGTTTCTCTTTATCTGTTTTGGTTAATGGCAGACCCTAATGTGTGGCCTTATTGGTATCCCTCCATCAAATGGTGTAATTCCACAGTCTCCAATGCACACTAAAAGTTTAGCTACTCTTAAACACCAAGTAATGACCTAATCCAGCACGATTTATTTAGACTATAGTCGAGTCACTGTTTATTTCTTTTTCTGCAACTCACCTGAAAAGCACATTAATCTTCATTGAAAAGCTGCTTCGCAACCGACTTGTCGCAACAGCACGTGAAAGTTTGAAGAGCAACTCAAGCCTGTCACAGTTATATGGAAACATGCAAGAAGCTTATAGATGGATGCAAACACCTCTTATCTACCAGCATTCATCACCAATAGTATGTTAAAAACGGAGTATCTTATTACATTGCTTTAAAGTGTAAACCAGCTTGTCAACTTACTGAAATCTAAGTCTTGAATCTTTTGTCACAGGGACTTAAAGAGATGAAAGAATCAACCATTCAATTGGCATCAAGCTCAGGCCACATTGATGCCCCGGTTGATGAGACGCATTTTGACATTGATAAGGAAATCGATGAACTGTTGCCCGTAGAGGTCAAAGAGCAGCGATTGAGCAACTTGCTTCAGGCAACAATGGTGGGCGGATGTGTTGCTGCGATGCCTGTATTGAGAATGATTCCAACCTCAGTGTTATGGGGATATTTTGCTTATATGGCCATTGAAAGTTTACCCGGGAATCAATTTTGGGAGAGAATATTACTCCTCTTCACTGCACCAAGCAGAAGATACAAGTAATACATGTTCTTCTTCCATAAAAAGATTTGTTTTTTTAAAAATGGTGTTTATTAAAAAAGAAACCGAACGTAAATAAAAGGTGATTTCTTTAAAGAATACGAAACATAAAAGATTGTTTGAGTGGTTGCAGAGTTCTGGAGGACTACCATGCGAGTTTTGTGGAGACGGTGCCTTTCAAGGCAATTGCGACATTTACATTATTTCAGACAGTGTATTTGCTGGCATGTTTTGGGATAACATGGGTTCCAATAGCCGGCCTCCTTTTTCCTTTGTTGATTATGCTTTTGGTTCCAATACGGCAATATGTGCTGCCCAAGTTCTTCAAAGGCTTACACCTTCAGGATTTGGATGCAGCAGACTACGAAGAGGCACCCGCTGTTCCATTCAGCCTTCCTACGGTAAATAAATCTGCCCCTTCCCCTCATAAGCACTAAGTGATGAAAAATACTAACTTGGCATTGCTTTTGTCAAGAAACCCAACTCAACCAAAAGTTCAAACTTGTGATTACAGACACAAGAAACTAGGAAAAGTTTTATACTCTTAACGATTATGAACATAATTTGAATTGTTGGGGTCTTGAACTGAAGGAGGATGAAGTTGGTGCGAGTGCTTCTTCCATTGGTGGTGGTGGGAGTGGGGAGATTCTAGATGAGATCATGACAAGAAGCCGGGGTGAGATCAAGCACATAAGCAGTCCCAAGGTGACCAGTCTGACAGCAAGCCCAGCCCCACAAGATCTGAGCCCGCGGTTCGCTGGGAGAGCTTACAGCCCGCGAATTCGCAGGCTGAGAGGAGAACGAAGCCCACTGTCTGGCATCAAAGGAGGAGGAGGAGGAGCTTTCAGCCCTGCTTCTACCTAAGATCCCACCAGACAAGAAAGACAGCTTCAAAATGAATCACTTGTTTCTATTTGCTACAAACCTTTTTGCTCCTTTAACATTACCTTAGATCCATCCATAATGTATTGATGATGTCATGATGATGATGACTCAAATGGTAATAAAAAAAGAAGAAGTATCTGTATGTAATCATTAATCCTCACTTTGTATTGCTGTTGTTTACTATGATTATTAATGAATGTACAAAGTAGTGTTGGGATTCTAATAAACTGAAATAATGTACACACTACAAACAGAATATAGTACAGTACTTGAAAAGGCAAGTGAAAAGAGGGACAATTGGCTCCTCATGTCCCTTTGGGTCATTTTTTACTGCATCATAGAAGGCAAAATTAAAATAATCCATCCTAATAATAAGAACAAAATGAATAATAGATGATGAGAGTAAAAGGAAGATGATGATGAATGTGGTAGACAAGAAGCCAAATGGGAAGCATGGGGTCCATCCTATATTGGTTTTTTTTTTTTAAAAAAAAACACAATTATGGGGATAATTATTAAAAAAGTTGGTCGAAAATGATGGCTAAATTATCACTTGTTAGGTGGCTAATGCCTTTTTTATTGAGTGGGAAAGTATAGGCCTATCAAGTACTCATCCACCCAATACTATTCTTATATTCCATATGGAGTTTAATACCAAGAATATTACTTCTGACTTTTTATTTTTTTATTCTATCTAATAAGTCTTTTACAGTTTTACTACTCCTATAAAGTAATGACATCTACCTTCCACTTAGTGCTATTTATCACTACTCCGTAGTCACCAAGTACTCCGGTAAAAAAACACAAAGAATAAAACGGATTACTCTACTTTTTATGTGTTTGTTTATGTTTTAAATAGCAAAAATGCTTGGATACACTAAATTGTACCTCAAGTTGTATACTATCTCTCTTTGCACTACGCATTTCTTATTCAGGATTTAATTTTCGGATCATGGATAAAAAATGTCTGGTGGAGAGAGTGACAATGTATAACTTGGAATACAATTTGGTAGACCCCAACCATTACTCTTTAAATTGCGCTAGTGACATGTGCCTACTGCTTAATTAGGCTAGGTAGAACAAGAAAACATAATAGAAAAATGCTAGGGGTACACCAAAAGGTGTACCCCAATTGTCCCACACCCCCTTCTTGTCCACAATAATAGGCAAGAGATTCAAAAAAAATTAAAAAAATAAAAATCAAATAGAGATGTGTGGTGGAGAAGCATGTGGTGTAGAATTGGGGTACACCTTTGGTGTACCCCTAACAGTGCTCAACATAATAACTTTAACATATACTATAAAAAGTATTTCCTTCTAATCACAATTTCCTTTTTCTTCTCTCACGAGTACACTTGTAGAAACCAAAATAAGTATTAATTCAATATTTAAATATAATAAATTAAAAATAACACCACTCAAACATCATAAATTGCATATCAAAAATCTAATGGGATAGGACACAGGAGTACTAGGACACAGGAGTACTATGTTCCAGGTTAAATTCTCGGGCGAACATAAGATTCCGATCCCGTCCCGGTTCATGAATGAAATAACTCTCTCTGTCCCTAAAAGATTGCCATAGTTTAGCTTTTTAGAGAAACGGTTGCACCCTTTGACCGTGAATTATGGAAAAAAATATATTTAGTTATAATATAAATTTAGTAAAATTGGATTAATTTTAAAATCTAAATTTTTATGTAATATTTAATTATTTTAAACTACTCCGTATATTTAATTCGTGATTAAAGAATGACTCAGTTTGATAAAAAAAAGTCAAATTATGATAATCTTGGACGGAGGGAGTAATGGGTGCGCTTCAAACAGACAGCATAATGATCTCCCCCCTCTATGTGACCCACAATTATGAAGGCTACACTACACGATCAGATTGGGCCGGTGGACAAATATGGTGGTGGAACAAGATAATCCACTTGCTGTTCTTTTCTTCTTCTTCACTCTGGATTTACTTGTTTTGGTTGAACGACAAATAAAGTTAGAACACCTTCTTTGGGCACTAGTCAAATAATTCATAGTCCTCTTTATGCATCTTTTGTAAACAGTGGCTATAAGCAAAACAAACTAGGCACTCTAAAGGGCAAATTTGGGCCTACACATTTACTTAGGCCACAATGCTAGACCTACATGCATATCCATTAGAGGAACCTCAAAAATCAACCATTTATGACAGACAAAAACTAAGGCTATTGTTTGTGCATGTATCTGTGAAGGAAGGAAGCAATGTTAGGGACACACTTCGGAGTAATTTAGATTTTTTTTTCTTCATTCACGCTTAATGTCTATTTCCAATGGAGCTAAAAGAGTTGTAATTGACACACGTGAAACTTCTTTTGCTTCTTACTTTCACACTCGCAGTGAACATGTACAAGCAAAATGCGTAACAAAAAGAGCGATGGAATTTCCTATCTAGCAAGTAAACACAACATTAACAACATTTGGGAACCTTTCTTTGATTGCTGCTTTGATGCCGGACCCAATGGATTCTGGTCCCACATACTTCACGTGGCAATCCCCATTCTCCTCGATCGATACAACATCCACACTCCCACCATAGTTCCTAATGGCAGGCCTTAAGATGTCAAGATGAGCATTCACCGCCTGCATATGCGAAGTCATGTCAACTTACTCATGATAATCCATTGAATAGTATGCAATAAAATGGTTTAAAAGAGAACACAGATGAAAACAAGCTCACCTCAACAGTAGTCTCAGTTATGTTTTCCAAATTCACTTGTTGGATGTCCTTTATAGCATCTCCAAATTTTTCTTTCAGCACTCTTTCAATTCCCATTTTCATTGTGGTTGTTGAACTAGGACAACTCCCGCATGCTCCTGGTTACACGTTGGTGTGGGTACATATGAAGTCAACACAAACAAATTAGACATTTAGGTAGCGTTTGAACAAGCTGCAATACGGTGTAATGTGATCAATCAACCTGCAGCAAATGTTTGTAATACGAAATTGAATTTACTGCATTGCATTACGGCTTACCAAGCATTGCCTTAGAGCATCTTAAACCCATTGATTGCACCATGTTGTGGTGCCAAAATTGTGTAATTGTCACACCATTATTAAGGGAGAAAATTACTCCATTCTTTTATACCATTTTATGACAAAAAATGTCCCACTATAGTTTCTTCAATAATTTAAAACAAAAAAGGAAATGGAATAATGCAATGAACAAATAGTGCATGTTCAGTTAGTATTCAACAAGATGGCATCTTCTTTACTACTATGAAACGGCTTTCAAGATGGTCTTTTCAATCTAACGTAACATACATTCATGTTGGGAGTTTAAGAGGGCATTGTGTAGGCGCTACTTACTTCTTGCATACTTGCCTTCCTCCATATATGTTCTGTTCTTTTGTAGCCTCTTTTTTCATTCAAACAGTTTTGTTGCATACTCACACACACAAACGGTCACTTTCTAACTTTTATTTTCTAAATTTTATATTTTTAACTTCTCCCATTCCTTCAAATGTTTTCTTAGCTGGGTGGGGTCTTCATTGGAACAGCCTCAATACAGACCTATTTCTGAGTGTGACTTCTCAGCGTTGTTTGGTTTGGTTTCAGGTTTTTTATGCATCTGGCATGGGATTGATTATAAGATCAAATTTTGGATGATGTGGAGGCATGGAGAACAATGATAAGTCCAATGTGAGGACCATTCATTTACTCTGTGTGATCATGAATCGAATTGAAAGAATTCTAGACAATTGAAAGTTTTTTTTCTTTTTGGGTTCTGTAGTTTACTAAAATACTCCTTGTAGAAGTTAGGGTTTGAGGATGAACTTTTACACAGACTGGATCCCCTCAAAATTCATCACACCTTCCCCTTCTGGAATTGCAGTGATACAAATAATACTAATCCTATTGCCAATTACTGTACACCCTCTAGTTAAACAGAACAACACCAATATGAATACAAACACAAGATATTGAATATAGAAATGATAAGAGCACCTTGAAGCTGGAGAGAAACAACGCCGTCCTCGACGGCCACTACATCGACGTTTCCGCCGTCGGAGATGAGGTAAGGGCGAACGTCGTCAAGAACCGTATCCACGTTTTCCGGAGTGAGCTCGAACTGCTGCGACGAGTACAGGCCCGGCGATCCGCCGGGAGTGGCTCTACGTTTGTGAGAAACGTCCAGTTTCTGGCGGCAAATGGATTGCGCAACTCTGAGCAAAGAGATTGAAGACGGCTCCCGGCGAGGTACGCCTCGCAATTCAGACCCGTAGCGTTTTCTGTTAAGACCATCGATTCCGGCCGGCCCGGTTGTTGCGATGTACGACGCCATGCCTCTGCAGAACGCCGGCGACAAAGTTCTGCACAAACGTCCAATTTCATCCCTTCAATTTCACGAACGGGCCGGTCTTGGGATGTTGGGCCTTACAAAATTGCCAACCACATAAGGCCGGCCTTACAAAATTCCCAACCACATAAGGCCCAAATTATTTTAAAGAAGTTAAATTACAAAAAGCCTGCACCCTGACCCAAATGGACCAAACCGTTCTGAGAAGCCAGACCCGCCACAACAGAGCAAAAAATAAAAGAGAGAATTCGCCACAACAGAGCAAAAACAAATAAAGGGCGAAGCTGCTAAGGATCGGCAATCTATATTTGGGATTCCCAATCTCCCCCGATTCTCCAGGTGCGATTTCTTTGATTTATTCTCTCGTTTTGAATGAATTTGCTCATTTATGAACGATTATCCGATGAAGCTTCTGTTCCGCGAATATGAATTCGTCTCTTTTGTTCTTTAACACAGAGGATATAAAAACAATTTTAGATTCATTTGTTTAAGCATCGCGGATATGAATATGAAATTAACTGGTAAAAAGCAAAATGCTCCCTCAAAATGTAGGAAAAAAAAGTAGTAAAATACACCCCTTACTCCTTCCAAATATCATAATCCACCCTAACATTCCGTTGGGGAAGAACTAAGGCTGTGTTTGGATGGAGGGGGGGGGGGAATTGAGATAGGTAAACGGAGGTGAAGAGGTTAGGTGACCTGGTAACAGTTAAAAATTAGACGTCCGCCGCGGGAAACCTAGCTAAATTTACGCCTTCCTCAGTTGCCCTTCTCCTCTTCCGTTTTTTTATTTTTTACACGGTTCTTCTTCTTCTTCTTCGGATCTCACTTATCTATCCATTCCCCTCTTCATCTCCCATCGCCTCACTTGGACGCACATCTTCATCTCCCATCGCGGATCTTCATCTCAGGTAAGGTTTTTTACTTTTTTTGCTAATTATTGAAAGTAGGTATTTTTTCCCCCTTTTTTTCAGTTTTTCTCCTTTTTTCAATATTCTTTTTGCCATTTATTTTTTGCAATTTTTTTCTGTATTTTTTGTTTGTTATTTGTGGTTTTTTATACGTATATTTGTTTTTTTCTGTATTTTTTTTTATGTTTGTGGAAATAGATTTGAAATTGATGCAAGAATTTTTTCTGTATTTTTTCGTTGTTTGTTGAAATAGAATGTTTGATGCAAGAATGTTTGGTGACTAGGTAATTTTCAATTCACCGACTGGGCATGTTGAATTCCCGTGTTTTTTTGTGTAATTGGCTGTGCAATAAGATTTAAGCATCCAATTGGTTGGTATGCTTTGTTGGGTTTGCGATCCGGATTTGAGAAATCAAATAAGATTGAAATTCTTATTTCTTTTACTGCATTCTTTTATGTTTAGTATTGCTACAACTGACGCTAATACCCCAGCCTTGTTAGTTTATATGACGGTGTTTGATGATTGAGTGTGAAGTGGAAGGAACTACAAGTTTTGAGGGTGGATTATGATATTTGGGAGAAGTCGGGGAGCACTTTACCTTTTTTCTACTTTTCGAGGGTGCATTTTGCTTTTTACCCGAAATTAACACAACGATTTTTTAATTTTTTTGATTTCTTAGCTTCTGTTTTTATTTGATTGTTTGATTGGCTTGTGTTTTTCATTTATTTTATCAAATGAAAAAAATGTGTTTACTACAAACCATTAACAATGGTGTTTTTCATTTTAATTAAATAAATTCTAAATTAAATTTAAATGAAATTTAAATAATTTGAAGGGGTCCTCAAAGAATGTGTACATCTTGACCCTCAACACTAAAGGATTTGGGATTATACTAGGATGCTGTATGAAAAATTGAATGTTGCATATTGAGAATTTTTACTCAAGAGCCTCCCATGTCCTTGTCTGTAGAGATGAACTAAAATTAATCTAGGAGCACTTTTTCTTCCTTCTTGGGAAATTGTCGAGCAACCCACACTAGTATACATAGATTATAAAAATCAGGAGGTTTTGAAGAATTGCTTATTAATTATTTTAAAAACCATATTCATCAACAACAACAACCTAGTTGAATCCCACTAGAGTAGGGTTTGTGGAGGGTTTGGTATGTTAAAGTTATGGATATATTATATATACAGATAGATTTTGGCACTATATTTCACGAATATTCTATAGAATATTGATATGCATGTTATGAATAAATTTTTGCATGCATGGTCAACTACGGAGTGGAGTATTAATTTTTGCTCCACATTACTACTAGAATAAGTGACATAACTGTGTAACAGTAGTGATTGAATTCCGTGGGGAAATTGGCCTCTATAAGTGCATTTTTACATGTTATGATATATTTTACAAAACCACATCATTCTCTGTGATGCAGGACACTTCCTTAACTTCTTGTCCTAAATAATTGAGCAGCCTCAATTGCAAATATGTTGAAGTTTGGGACCAACAGAGTTCTGGGGCTTGCGCCGGGTGGTGTTTTGGCAAGGGCCAAAACCTCGTTTCCACGGCTCTACCACGAGAGGGTGGTGGACCACTACAACAACCCCCGCAATGTAGGCTCCTTTGACAAGAACGACCCCGGCGTTGGCACAGGGCTGGTAGGTGCCCCTGCCTGTGGCGATGTGATGAAGCTTCAGATAAAGGTTGACAATGAGACTGGGAAGATCGTTGACGCATGCTTTAAGACCTTCGGTTGTGGTTCCGCTATCGCCTCCTCTTCTGTTGGTACGTTTGCTTCGAGATTATATAAAATATTACTATTTTTGAAAATTAATTTTTTTTGCTGCTGCATTTTAAGTCTGCCTAATCTTGGAAGTCAGAATAAGTTTGGGTGTCTAGAGTGGTAGTATTTGTGTTTTCAGAGCATCGTCTATTTCCCACCTTGGAGTGGAGAGATTTGCTGTGTAGTTAACTAAGCATTTCTCCATTTGTATTGTTTGGAAAGTTGGGGGGGGGGGGACAGAGAACCTATAGTGGAATCTGCAATAATGAGGCTATGTTTTAGGAAAGATTTATATCTGTTGTGCTGCTACTTAGTATTATTGTCTTGTCTGTTCATACTTCATAGCCTTAACTAGATTTTTAATGCTCAGCTTCTAATTTTGATGTTAGAATTGTTATATTATGTAATATGGTTGGACTGAATGTTCGAGTATATAAAGTGTTGATATTTGACAACTAGCGTAATTTGGGAAATTTAAATTCAAAAAATATTGGATGAATCATGCCAAAGAAACCAAAAGTGGCATGTTGAAACTTCATGATTAATGAGAAATGGATTAGGGAGTAAAAAAGGAATATAGATTCCCGAAATAAAATCTTCCTAGGAATTAGGGGAGAGTAAAAAAGATATTATAGGATGAGGAATCAGAGTGTTGAAGCAAGCAATATTTCTCATACAGTTCATCTAACGCTTGATTTCATAATACAACCCTAATATTTATAATAATCATTAACGTGCGGCATATGATTTGTTGGGTTCCCAAAAAAATAATGAGGGGATGGATACTTGTGAAAGAAATGAGGCATTATTTGATTGAGTAACCTTCTTCAATGATTCACTGTTTTTTCTATAGCTTGTGATCAATATAATTCTTGGGTCCAGTGGGGTGTTTAGCAGGTGGGGATGCTAGTAACCTCAGTATCTTATAGGTTTGGCTGTTTGAGACAGTGAATGTGTTAAAGGACTGAGGATTCCGAGTGCAAGACTTAGGGTTGGACTTTTCTTTGGCTTCCCTATACCTGCTATTTGGATTCGGAAACAGTAGGTTCGTTGTGGCAGTAGTAGTTTGATGTTTCAGGAGTTTTAATGAATCTACCCACTCTAATTCTTTTTCGCTTACTAATATGTATGTTGGTTTGCCAAATGCATGCTGCTATACGGCTTGTTTTGCACTGTTAGTTGGTTAATTTGCTGCAGAAATTTTCATGAGCACATTTTCGTGTGCGGATATTTCTAAGTTGAACTCACAATTCTACTCTGAATAATACTCTATTGTACCAATTTTATTCCATCTCTTTTTCCCTTAAAATGCTGTCTTTTGTACTGAGGCTCGTCTAAATAAGCCATAATACTACTCCCTCCGTCCCAAAATGAAGTTTGGCATTCGTTTTTTGGAGGTCCAAAAATAAAATTTACACTTCTTCACTTTATCTTTTAGGAAAAGTATGTGGTTCTTATAATTTTTCTCTTCTAGATATATTTTACCACACACCGTTCACTTTTCTTAAATTCCACGAAGTCAAAGTGTAGTATCCATTTGGGACGAAGGGAGTATTTTCACAAAAAATACCATGTGTGGGCCACGCCCAAGGCATCATTATTTCTTTTTTCTGGAAACACTTTTGACCTTACTGTTTTGTTTCATTCAGCAACGGAATGGGTAAAGGGGAAGCAGATGGAGGAAGTGCTATCCATCAAGAACACGTATGTTCCTTACTTTCTATTCTTGAATGACCTTGATGTTCATCTTGATATTGTATGCTGGAGCCATTAACTCTCTAATTAGTGCTGTATTTGTGTTTGGCTTTGGCATCTGTGCCTTATCAATTATCATGCATGCCTTTGTTCTACCTCAGGTTTTAAGTGTATAATTGTGTATCTTTCAAACTGTTGGGAGAGCTGTGTTTTTTTTTGCTCCAGCTTGAAAAACGTCTGGGCACAATGTGGAGTAATACACCATGTATGAAATAACTAGTTCCTAGGTTAATCGAAACAGACAACAACCTACCAAGCGAAGTCCCACAAGTAGTAATACATTTTTTTAGGGCCCTAGTAATACATACGTAAAACTGAAAATAAAACGAGTGTTTTTTTTTTCTTTCAAAAATAGCTTGAAGATAACGGGAAACAGGGAAAAGTATTTTGATGTTTTTGTATTGATCAATGTTATTTGCAGGGAAATTGCCAAACATCTTTCCCTTCCTCCTGTGAAGCTCCATTGCAGCATGCTCGCAGAGGATGCAATAAAAGCCGCCGTGAAGGATTACGAGGCAAAGCGCGCAAAATTATCCTCAAGTGAGCATGCTGCTGATGCTTAGTAATGTTACTGGGGAGCCATGCCTGTAAACAAAGTGGCATTCTGTCTGAATAAATCATTCTGTACTATGTATAAATACACACACACACACTCCTATGTGTTCCTGAACTGTGTTTTTTTTCTGTCATGTTTGGTAATATTTCAACCTAATATTGGAAAAAATGATAAGAGTAGTGTGATTTTATGTATTCTACATAATATTTTGGTGAACTCTTAAAATTATATTGCAATTGAAGTGTGTAGTCCTCCTCTTATGTTTCATTACTCCATATGGTTCAATCCCTTGTGTGCTAATGTCCGTTTGGAGTCTAAATTTGTTAATCTATTAAATGTGCAGATCATCTTTTAATCATTAATACTTGTAAATATTACTTTTGGGTGGTGGTTTGGAAATGAATAAAGCTACTTGTCCACATGGGTTGTACCCCAAGTTGTACACCACATGTGTGTGCACCAGCATTCCAATTTTTTTTTGTTCTTGTTAGAAGGGACGTTGTAGAGCAACTCCTTGAAGCTATTGTGGTTCGTAAGGAAGGGGCACAAGCGGAGGTGAGCTTAGAGGACGAGGACTTCAGATGCTCTTAGTACATCGTCTTCGTCCTCCGTGCAAATTCTTGAAATAGCAGTTATTGATTCGTGGTGTGCGTTCGTAAACACAAAATACGGATTAGTAATCTAAATCAAATTTATAAATCACCTGATATAATACAATCTAATAAAATTGCGATCATAAAAGAAAGGCAAAATCCGTATGAAGTGCTTGTATTCTAAATTACGGAGTAGCATATTTTGATGCCATATCTTGAAGTTGACTGAAGTATATAACATACTTCCTCCATTCTAAAGTTATCTTTTTCGTTTACTAGTTACTGTAATAGATTTTATTCATTTTCTTAATCTAATTTCGTTATTTATTTGATAAAAAATATAATCATTTACCTCTAGTTACGTAGATTTTTGATGTAGTTTTTAAATACATAAATTTAATTTCTAAAATTTGCAAAAATTTGGTTGAAAAATTGAATTGAAAATAGCTTCACTCAAATATTGTAAAGCGCACCGAAAAATTTTAGGACGGAAAGGGTATGTTGGTACATGGGAATTCATAAATTCATTGGGCACTGTTTCAACCCTCCACATTAACTATATCATCATCCATATGTATGTTTCCTCATGAAATTACACCAACCATTCTGTAATTGCATTAACAGCCCTGCCCATGCTGCCCAGCCCTGCCCCGCCCCTTTTTCATATACTACAGCTGATCAGCATGATTCATCCAACTGCAAAGAGGCGATTTATTGCTCCCAAATATTTACACAAAATAAGCCCACCACCAACAAACCTTGCTAGTGTAATCAAAATGTACCCATTTTTACTCTAGTCAAAATTGATACTCATATTGTTTTTTTAGGGTTTGATATATTTACAATCCAAAACATACCAAAAAATCAAAATTACGTTTCCATTTCAAGATTAAATTATCATAAATTACCTCCATCCATGAGTATATGTCCAGTTTTGACTTTTTTTGACAACTATTTTTACCTTTGATCTATGATTAAATAAAATATATGTTGTTTATTAATTAGATAAAATAATATTTTGAAAATATTTGATATAAAAAATCTACTAAAACTGTTTTTGTATCAATATCTAATACTCCGTATTATTTTTATTTAATTTGAACTTATTTTTACTCGTGTATTATTGTCTAAGAGTTATGGTTATATTTCACGAAGGTGAAGACTATAAAAATCTTTCTCAATCTTATACTCAATCTTATACTTACAAGTTTGAACTTATGAAAAGGAGTTAAGTGCACCGTTTACCCCCGTACTCTTTAGGAATTGCATGTTTTACCCCTGAACTTTAAAAAGTGCATTGATTACCCTTGAACTCTTCAAAAATTGCACGATTTACCCCTGCAGACTAAAAATGCACCAAATACCCTTGAACAAATTAAAACGTTGCATCGTTGGTCGTAAACTATTAGATAGGGAGGGCGTTGCTTCCACGCACAAGAATTGTGAATATCATTCATCTGACCCTTGTGAATTTTCCAAAATATCTTTACCCAAAATTGTCATCTTTATTTAAATGTTCAGGAGTAAACTGTACAATTTTCGAAGGGTTCAGGGGTATTTGGTGCAATTTTTATTGTTCAGGGGTAAACCGTGCAATTTCTGAAGAATTCAGAGGTATTTGGTGTATTTTTTAATGTTCGGAGGTAAACCATGCAATTTTCAAAGAATTCGGGGGTTAATGGTGCACTTAACTCTTATTAAAAGTAACAAAGTTAAGTAACAATTTTAAGAATACGTATCAAATTTATATTGTCGCATCAAATTGAAATAGGGGAGCGTATTAAAAGAAACAAAGTTATACGAATTTTAAAAATATGGAGTGTGCTGAAAAATTCATGCAGACGAGGAGATTCAAGAAAGTTGGTGGAGATTTTATATAGAACTTCCATGTCCATAAAGCTCTTTTAATTTGTTCTTCCTAGTGAAACCAAGTCTAATCTAGAGCTCACTCCACCTGTTTGATAAAAGTATTTCCCCTCCATTTCAAATTCCTACTCCACTTCTTGTTTTCTTTTGTTTTCTTTCCCAGACAGCTCTTTTAATTTTGGACAGCAGAGTAAGTGCTCTTGAGAAATATATTAATGTTTCTTCTCAATGAGAATAAAAAATGGAAAAAGATGGGTAATTTGAAGGAGATTTCACGAGATTTTCCTGATTTTTTGTTTGCCCTCCTTGAAGATTAAAAAAAATGCTTCTTTTCTAGTTATAAGCTGATATTACGGATTTCATGCTTTCTGTGTTTCCATATTTATGTTGCGTCTCCTCCTCCTCCTCTTCTTCTTCTTCTTTATCATCACCTCAAGTAATAAGCTCTTAAAGATTTAATCTATCTTTGCATGTTCCTCAGATTGTTCCCAGTCTGTATCTGCTCATAATCCAATACCAAATCAAACATTGTATGGAATATTTTGTGCCTTAATTTCAAGAATTGCCCATTTAATCCTGTTACTTTCTGGTGAGTAGGAAATGTACCGAGGGGCGGGTGGGATTGAGTCTATATGTTAGATTAGGACATCAAATAGTTTGGGCATTTTCAGGTCTGCTAGATGAAAACTCAGTCCACATTGATAATGTAAGCCATTGTCAAGTCTAGCACAAAATAAGCTCAGTGGGCTACTCGTGAACTCTAATTAAATTGAAAGAAAATGTGTGAAAGCTAGTGAAATAGTTTCATCAATTAGAGGGTAAGGAATATAAATATATGAACATTTTAAAAAAGTTTTCATCAATTTTGTTTTTTCTTCCTATGTACTATTTAAAACCATATACTCGTAATACCTTGCTTGAAGAATAATGCTGTAGCTGCTGTGCGACCTGCGCTTGAGCCCAAATTAAACTCTAATTATCCTTTGTTTACTAATGGGATTAGACTTTGGGTAGTATGCTTTTCCTGTGTTTTTGCTTCAAAATTACTTTGTGGAATAGATTCTTAATTCCAAAAAGGGTTATTGTGTAAATTCCTTTTTTAAGGTCATCCCAAACAAGCACTCTGTGTTCATATTCTGTATGGGTTTGGCATGTTATAGATACCTCTCTTCATATCTTAAAAGATATCATCAAAAAGTTAGATTAAGATATTCCTGTAGTTGAGAAATTTCATCTTAAGTTAAAAATACATCGATTAATTCTTATAGTTGAGAGTTGTAATCAATTACGGAGTATATCACATTCTATTCTGTCTTACTAAACTATACATCTTGTTACAGGACGAGATGTTTGCTGTAAAAGTTGAGGAGGGAAGAGAAGGCCACGGCGGGCAGCCATCCGTGGGCCCCGTATACCGGAATCTGTTGGCTAAGGATGAATTCCCTCCTGCCGATCCATACTTATCTACTGCTTGGGAACTCCTAAGGTTAATTATACTTAAGTTTGTGTGGATTACATTGAATCAGGACATGAAGTATCTAATGCATATTAACTGAAACACTTTTGATGAACAGAGCTTCTGTGGAGAAGCATCCAACAAATAAAATGTTGGGGTGGCGAGAACTCGTTAATGGCAAGGTACATTTCAGCTGATCGGAATATGTCTAGATAGTATAAAGGGCTGCGCCTGGTAACATCCATTTTAGCCACATGAGTTATTCTAATCTAGGAGAATAATTTTATGAGATTAGAGGTCTACTTACCCTTCTCACTCTATCTTTAGATCCCTACATGGTTTTGCGATAGCCAGCAGAGTGAATAGGTAAAGTACCACAGAGAACAGAGATTCGTTGAACATAGTTCAACTCATTTCGTTTCAAACGTTGAACATAGTTCAACACTATGTTCAACTCATTTAGTTCAACGAACAACGAATTGTTACACTCATTTCGTTTCACTATGTTAGTTCAACGAAATGAGTGTAAACGAATCTCTGTCAACGAATCGTTTCAAACGTTGAACTATGTTAGAGAAATGTAGCGGTACGCCCTAAAGTCGATGGAAAGATCCATGAGAATGTAGTAAGCCAGAGTAAGATGTATGAGGGAAGAGTCTTCGAATTGATCAGAATCTCGATAGTTTTTCTACTTGGCATTGATTTCTTATACTCTTTATCCCCTTACTTCCAGTGGATGATTAGTCCACGGGAGCCATAATGAAGAAGGAATAGGGAAAAGGTACGAAGTCACTAGAGTGTAACGATTCGTTTCAAATGAGTTGAACATAGTGAAACTAAATGAGTGTAACAATTCGTTGAATAACTATGTCAAAAGCTCAATTTATTCTGCTTACTGCGTTGATGAGCGAGATAAGATCACCAAACACTGCCAAATGCTTTCTTTGTTGAACATTAATTCATATATGCTATTGGTTTCAGTGGGGCCCATATGCTTGGAAAACCTACAGTGAAGCTTTCCAAGAAATTCTGCAGGCGGGTTCTGCATTACGAGCTCATGGTGTCGAACCTGTAAAGAATTAAGCACTTGCGTACAATTTTTATATGCATACATGCTTCTTATACATCAAGCTAGTTAGTGAAAGCAAAACTTCTGTTTTATGTTAGGGTGCTCGAATTGGAATTTATGGATCCAACTGCCCTCAATGGATCGTAGCAATGGAGGTTATAGAAATAACATTGCATTTCCCTTTTGTGTTTATTATGTGTGTGGTCAAATGATTTAGCCTTTTCATCTTAAATAGCAAAATCTTTTTTTGCCTTATTTGCGCAGGCCTGCGGTGCCCAGAGCTTTATTTGTGTTCCACTGTATGACACCCTTGGTAATACATCTTTCTTTTGTTTGCTTCTTGAAAAAATAAATGTTTTCAGTTAAGCGTTTACATTACTTGATCATTGCACGCAGGGTCTGGGGCTGTTGATTTTATAATAGGCCACTCTGAGATCGATGTGGTTTTTGTCCAAGACAAGAAAGTGAAAGAAGTGAGGATGAAGTGTCATGTTCCCATTTAGATTGAATTTGATTTTGAGCATTGCAAATCTGATAAAGTTTAAATTTTGCAGCTTCTTAATGCTGAATGTACGCACTTGAAACGACTGAAAAGTGAGTATGATTTCTAGCTTTCCTCATTGAGTTGTTTCCAAAGGACATTGTCACTAAGCCTTCTCTACGTTGCAGTTATTGTCTGTCTCACCTCACTAAAGAAGGAAGAGAAGGATAAGGCTATCTCCATGGGGATCAAGCCATACTCTTGGAATGAGTTTCTCCAAATGGTAATTTTTCTCAAATCTTTTGCGTTACCTTTATCTTCAGAGTGAGTAATATGAAATGGTTTTCAGGGTAAGGAGCATCCATGGGAGGTTACACCACCACAGCCGTTTAATATTTGCACCATAATGTACACCAGCGGAACTAGTGGAGAACCTAAAGGTGTCATTTTGACACATGAAAATATTGCATCAGCTGCAAGAGGTTTGGATCTTTTTATGGACCAGTTTGAAGATAAGGTAAAAGTTGTTTAAAAAGAAAAACTTTGATTACCAACATTGGTCTCTTATGTTCTGATTTCTGAATTGTATGGCATTATGAGCCATTTCAGTGTGGTCGTTTAAAGCAAGTCATTAGTATGTCTTATTAATGAGTAATAAAACCTTGAAGTTATTGTATGGAAAAACTGATTTGTGAATTCATATATGGTAGATGACAGTTGATGATGTGTACATATCATTCTTGCCACTTGCCCATATCCTTGATCGCATGATTGAAGAGTACTTCTTCTACAAGGGTGCTTCAGTTGGCTACTACCACGGGGTGAGCGGACATGCTTCTCTAAAATTGATTCTCATTATTGAACACTAAATTTTCTGATGGTTTTCCCGATTACAAATGGCGTAGAATATCAATGAGATAAAAGATGATCTGGAGGAGTTGAAGCCGACCTTCTTGGCAGGAGTGCCTCGAGTTTTTGAAAGAATCCACGAAGGTATGTAACCATTTTAATTTTTTTAAGGACAAGTGCAGGAGTTGCTTGGCTTATATTCGGTTGTGATGTTATTGAACTTCTATTATATTATCCTAAATGATGTTCCGATTATAGGTGTCCTGAAAGCACTAGATGAACTCAATCCATTCAGGAGAGCAGTTTTCAACTTTCTGTATAACTAGTAATAAGCTCTGCCTATCTCCTTTAACGCGGGAATCATATTCATTCATCTTTGATATTTATTTAACATGAACTTACCCATCTTCACAGCAAACTCAAATGGATGAAGCTAGGCTACAAGCACAGAGCTGCATCACGACTTGCGGATTTGCTTGCTTTTAGAAAGGTTTTATTTTATATTTTTCCGCACCATTCAGAGGTTTTCATACTTAAAAGTTGATTTTGTTTTCTGTGTGAACTTGAAATTTTTCAGGTAGTGTGACATGTTCTCGTAGATATAAATGCTAATTTTCTGGACACATTGACAGGTAAAAGCAAGGCTAGGTGGCCGACTTCGCCTGATAGTTTCTGGTGGTGCGGCGCTGGGCAGTGAGATTGAAGAATTCTTGAGGGTCACGTCTTGTGCATTTGTCGTACAAGGATACGGTAACATTACTTTCATTCTTTTCAATTTTGGCGCACGACTATGAATTTATATCTATTTCCATTTTTGGTCCTTAAAATCACACAGGGACTCAAGCATACAAACAACAACATCAAACCAGATTAGATAAGCATGTGATTATATCGCATTCCAATTATAGACTAATACAAGTCTTTTTCACTGTTAAAAAAAATGTAGGGCTAACTGAGACGTGTGGGTTGACCACGATATGCTACCCAGATGAAATGTGCATGCTTGGAACGGTTGGATCCCCATTTGTATACACAGAAATACGTCTGGAAGAGGTTGCAGAAATGGGTTACAACCCCCTTGGAGAGCCCTCGCGAGGGGAGATATGTGTCAAGGGGAAGACAAATTTTGCAGGATATTACAAGAACCCAGAATTGACTAGAGAAGTCTGTAAAGACGGGTGGTTTCACACAGGTATTGGTTTTGGTTCCCTTATTTATCTGATGATCCATATGCATCGCAAATTTCGTCTTCAGACATTATCTTAATTAGTTCATGACAACATTGTTTTGATACAGGTGACATTGGGGAAATGTTGCCCAACGGAGTTATAAAAATAATTGACAGAAAGAAAAATCTCATAAAGCTCTCTCAAGGAGAATACGTCGCGGTTGAATATCTTGAAAAGATTTATGGTATAGCGCCCATTGTTGAAGACGTAAGCACACCACTTGTGATGAGTTAAATGAAGTTGATTGGCCTGTTGTATACATTGATTTCCAAATGCCAACCATATTTTTTTTTATTGAAATCATGATTATATACTTCCAGATATGGGTGTATGGGGACAGTTTCAATTCTATGCTGGTTGCAGTGGTGGTTCCCCATCAAGAGAACACCTCTAAATGGGCGCATCAAAACGGGCATTTTGGCTCTTTTCAAGAGCTTTGCTCTCTTGAGAAGTTGGAGAATCATGTCCTCATTGAGTTGAGGGCTATTGCGGAGAGGAATAAGGTGTGTTCGTGCGTATGTCACATTATAATAATCATTATTAAGACTTGAAGTTTCATTCTAGAAGGTCAAACTAATAAGACTAGTTTAAACTTCAAAGTCTTGTATGGTTGTTTATATTTTTGTCTGAATAATCTTATGATATTGGATTTGACCAATGTGTTTTGGAAGCAGCTAAGGGGTTTTGAGTACATTAAAGGAGTCATTCTTGAGCCCCAACTCTTTGAGCTCGGCAATGACTTGGTTACAGCTACATTGAAGAAAAGAAGAGATAAATTGTTCAAGCATTACGAGGTAATGCCACCCTATACATGCTCACCTTATTTGTCCAGATTAAGAGCTTGTCAACTTATTACTTATTACTTACTCTTATTGGAATGAGATCAGATCATAAATAACTTTAAATATAACTATAATCAGATTAGATGAGACCAGATCAGACCTTAAAAAAAATCAGATAAAATCCAATTAGACGAAGAGAACAAGCTCTAAGTTGTCTATATTTTTTGCACTTTCATTTGTCCAGAATTAATTGTCCATTTTCCTTCTTCAATAAAGAAATTAAGATGAATTGCCTAATAATAACACTAGTGAATGTTTTTATTTTAAATTTTGCAGAGAGAAATCTCGAGTCTTTATGAAAACCTCACAAGTGCACCTAAGAAGCAATAGGTTCTATCATGGATGTTCAATGTGCGGCTGAATTGTCTTTGCAGAAAGAAATCTTCATTGTGTCATATGTATGAGTATAAAGTTGTATTGCAACCATCATTACACTATCATAATTTCGAATAAGAAGAGGTAAGTTCTGCATTCAAACTACTCTAGTTTTGAGTGTGTTCAAACTATTGAAGTTCTGAATGTTTGGCCACAACATCGCCGTCTGTTGAACCAACTTTTCATGTGAATCAACCCGTGTCAATGTGTCAGCAAAGTACACACAGAATACCCATATTACTAACAAGCCAGTGAAACAAATTGTCATTCAATAGCGGTACACAGATCTGTCCCCATCTTATGAGAAAACATCATCAATGAGTTCATCATAGAGAGGCACACAAGTCACACAAAAACAACAACAATAAACCCAGTAAAATCCTACAAAAAGTAGGGTCTAAGGATCATAGTGAGGGAACAACAACAACAACAACAACAACAACCCAGTTAAATCCCACAAGAGTAGGGTCTGGGGAGGGTGTGTGTACGCAGACCTTACCCCTACTCGAAAGTAGAGAGGCTGTTTCCAAAGAGACCCCCGGCTCAACGTCGAAAGTTGCATTGCTTGACTAACTGCTACTTCATTAATTAAAGAAGCGCAGACAGTATAGAAATCCATTTAGATTTATTCCATCACACCCCAAAGCCAAAAAATGGTGAAATTTTGGCTCCATCGGAGATGATGGAAAATCATAGTGAGGGAACACAATAAACTAAATCAACTAGGAGCTGATGAAAGGTGTAATCCACTTGTTTTTCGTATTCTGCTCTCCCACTTCCCTCTCCCTCTTCTTGTACAGTTTCTCAAGAGCATGCTTTGCTTCACACTGGGGGGAATTTGTGATATTGAAATGATGTGGTGCTATATCGATCAACCTGTGTCCAAAGTAATGCACCAAAAACATACAGTAAGATCTCTTTTTCTTCAATATCGTTTAATCGTTTTGTACAGAAAAAATAACGCGCTCAAAAATGTAATTGGAGCAACAGAAGAGGGATACACGACTTCCTATCAGTTCAAAAGTTCCAATAGATGTGCATACAAAGCAACAAGACCTCGTGACAGATGAATAGGAAAAGTTTCCTCTGCTGCTCCCAATTTCAACCCACCATCCGTGAGGAAAGAGCCAGAGAGAATCCCAAGACAAATATGATAGAATATACACTAAATTAATAATCAAGAATACACAATAAATATTCAAGAATAATATTTATTATAAAAAAAACTGACCATTCACCCCTGATATCAGTCACAGTGCGGATGGGTATCTTGCTTGTTAACATACACTTGTTGTATAGAACCCATTCAGGCATTTGGTCCAGGCAGTTTGAAGGGTGCAAGTGAACCACCTAGATTACACAATTTTCATATAAAAAGTAATTAGTAATTAAGCAAATCTTTTCCTACAATTATCAGGTGTCATAGAAAATAAATTAGCAAGCAAAAAATATCTGGTGTATTTGCAAAGGAAAGAAAACATACTTGATTGTCCTTCACTGTCAAATAGTGACCGGTACGTTCCAAATGCGACACCTGCATGAAATAGCCAGCCAACATGGCCTTTCTTATGTTGATATAGTAGTCGCGGCTGTTGATGTCTGTGCTACATATCTTGAGGTTGAATCTTTCCATAATGCGTGCAAGTTGCTGCCTTACGTTGTCTGCAAACTTGAGAATCCGATGATTGATGAAATTCTCATAACACCACAGCAGATCCCCCACTGAAAAAGCAACAAACCCCACAAACAAAATTAATAGCCTATTGAATTCTTAAAATTGAAAAAGTGTTTAAAAAAAAAGAGGAAAATACACTCACTATTTTGCTTGTAAGCATTGTAAACATTCAGCAGTGTGATGTGATATCCATCAATGTGACTAAAACGACCCTTCGCTTCGTCTGCAGTTTTTTGACCCTCTTTAGGCTGGATGAAGCAGTTGGGTGCTACAAAAAAAGGTAATGGAACATAAACTACTCACATAATCCAAGAATAGCAATAGTAAAGAGTAACAAAATGATACCTGATAGCATGGCACATAAAGAAAGAATCTCATTGGAGCAGTTGAATTGTGGGCTGACAACAAGCATTTTTGCCATTTGAGGATCCAGGGGGAATTCACTCATGATATCACCCAATTTTGTCAGGTTTCCTTGGTCATCCAGAGCACCAAGGCAATTCAAAACCTCCATAGCTCTCATCAATGTTTCTGGTGCGGGTGGGTCCATGAAATCGAAGCGCACCAGGTTATCGATCCACAGTTTCTTCAGAGTTAAAACTGTACTAGAAAGGTTTGATCGAAATATTTCAGGACTGGTCTGTGGTTGGAGAACGTTATGAAAGCACTTCTCTGTATAGAGTCTATAACACTTTCCATGCTGTGTTCTTCCAACACATCCAGATCTTCGGCGAGCACTTTCTTTTGAAATAGGAGAGAGCAGCAGAGATTCAACACTGACTCTGGGGTCATAAACTTTTTGCATTGCAAACCCCGGATCAATAACATATACTATACCATCTATAGCCAATGATGTCTCCGCGATATTTGTGGAGACAACCACCTTCCTCCCAGGACTGCCTGCCACAAGTGCCAGGGGAGCGGGTTCAAAGATCCTCTGTTGCATTGCGGAAGTGTGGAATAGAGAGGAACCGCTTTAATGGGACCCACTTTATCTCCCAAATCGTTAACTTCTTTTTTTATCTTCCGACATGCGTCCTCAATCTCATCTTCTCCCGTTAGAAAAACCAGAATGTCGCCAGGAGGCTCACACGTGTGTATCTGCACCACGGTTCGAATTGCTGCTTCAAGGTAATCCCTCTCGGGCTCCTGACTGTAAATGACTTCCACAGGGTGTAGCGGACCAGGAACTTTCATGAGAGGTGCGCCGTGAAAATAACCCAGAAACTTCTCTGCCTCAAGAGTTGCACTCATGACAACTAGCTTGAGGTCGGGTCTGTTTCTCAACACCTCCTTAAGAAGCCCAAATAGAACATCAGTAGCCAGTGTCCTTTCATGAGCTTCATCTAGAATGATAACCTTGTATCTTTCCAAGAGAGGGTCTATCATGGCTTCTCTTAAGAGCATACCATCTGTCAAATACCTATTACAAAAAAGGTATTAACCACTTGGCTTTAAGCAAAAAAAATATATGCATGAAAGTATTGCATAAAATATTTGTTGTACAAAATTTGTTCCGAATAGGTTTGTTATAGTACTTCAACACTGTCCGAGCACTAGAGCGGTCTTCAAAATGAATGCTATAACCAACTTCCTCTCCAAATGTCACATCCATCTCTTCGGCAACCCGGCGAGAAACAGACATAGCAGCAACCCTCTGTGGCTGAGTGCATCCAATCATATACTTCCTACGCTTATCAGGGGATTCCACAATAATGGCATCAAGGACAAACTGGGGTATCTGAAACAAAGACAAAGAGCAGTGAGATTAAGATCAACCAAGTAATATGTTATTTAGTGACTCGTACTGACCTGAGTGCTTTTACCAATACCCGAATCACCAACCAGGATGAGGGTCTGATTGTCTTTCAAGGCTTTCAAGAACTCATCTTTATGGTGCCAAACAGGAAGAGACTTCCTCTTCTCCAATTTCTCATAGTACCTCTGGGAGTAGGGCCTTCCAGTCCACCTATTGATAGGGGAAGACGTGGCGTGACAAAGTTGTTGCCCTGAACTGGTGATCATTGCCAAGCCGGCATCTGTTCTACAACACACCAATCTCTGGTTTAGCAAAAGGAGATGGGTATTATTTCCCCTCTGGCTTGGTCCATTTAAGTCTCCTGTTATTTTGTCTATTCTTTTCACCATCTCCATTGAGGTCTCCTCGGTGTTCTTCCTTCTCTTTTCTTTCGTTACGGCTGTAGCTTCCCCATCCTTTTCTTTAACTTTCTCCTTGCCATTTGGTGACACTAGCTTCGCCCTCTGAGTCCGCGGACCGTTTTTTTCAGCTCTTACAGCTGTATTTTCTCCAGATGAACTTGGTCTTCCTCCAGAGAACCATTCATCTTCCTTCAGCCACTTAGCTCCAATTCCCACTTCTTTTCTGGGGTCAATTCTCAACTCAGGCCCATATTTTCTCTCTAGACATCTCCCCGGGTGAGTGAGTGTTTCGGGACACACACTGTCACTGTGGCCAAGCAATCCACATATGTAACAGAAAGAAGAGATCTTTTCATAGCCAAAGCTAACATGGACCCACTCATTCTCTCCTCTCCTCAGCCGCGTTCCTCGCTTCAAGGGCTTCCTCAAATCTAGTTTAACTCTAATGCGCAAATGTTTGCTCCACAGCCCAAAGCTCGCTTGATCTGTCTCCAGGAACTCTCCCACATCATTCCCAATCTTCTCGGACACGTACCCACATTTCAATCCGGTTACTTGCACCCACACATAGGCATGATGCAGGGGAACATCTCTGGGGTCAGTGTGTTTCCCCATGGGTTCAAGAACGAGCAACTGGCTTCTGTACGACCAGGGACACAAATCCATTACCCGGTCACGATCCGCCTCGCTGTAGAATTTGAACACGTACAAGCCCTCCTCGATCTCTGTCACAGCCATTCCCATCAATGGCTTCCATATCGAGGCGAAGAAATTCTTCATTGTTTCAAAGCTTCCGTGTCTTCCGTTGATGAATTTCCCGACGAGGCAGAGGCTGAAGTCCATCATGGGTGCGACACAGTGTCTTCCTCGACGGTGATATAGTCTTCTTCTTCTTCTCCGTCGTCAATGTTCAGGAAAGCTACGGTTTTTGCCATTTGTTCTTGTACCCAAGCTTCTTCCATGGCTTTCAGGCTTTGATAGTCAACGGAAACTGTACAATATGATTTTGTACTGCGCGCCAAACGGCCGGTGAACAGTGTAAACTGAAAAAAGCATCCTCGTACGGAGAGAGTGGAGTGTTGCGTGAGTACTTGGTCAACAGAAAAAGGCGGTCACAGTAAAATTGATGTAGCCCAAGGCGGGTATGGAGTAAAAGAGGGTGAAAAGTGAGCAGGGCAAGTAAATGTAGCATAAAAATGGCAAGGAGTGAAAGAGGGTCAAAACTCAAAAGTGGGTGATAAAATTAAATTATACCGAGTAAAATTTTGAAAATTTTACAGAGTAAAATTTTGTTATTATGATTGTTGACTAAATTTCTTTTTAATTCTGTATATTCAAATATTAGCAAAAAGAATTTAAAATAAAAATTTGAGAGTACATTACTGTATAAGTGACTTTAGTTTTGAAGTGTAACTTTTTCTTTAAAAAGATCTTCAAGTAATTTGTGTGTTTGATCCCACCTTACTTTCATCAAACGATATAAAATATCAAGTAAATTATTAAAATGGACCTTTTGAATAAGGTGTTTTTCCAAATAAGTCTTTAATGAATTCTAATTACACATATATGGTATTTTATCATTGAGATATTTCATAAGTTCATTATAAAAAATGTCACTTAAATGAAGATAATCGATGATCACTGAAAATGATCATTTTGAAAATTTAATCTACGTTTAGATGATGAAAAATATCAAAATACTTTCCACTTAATTGACATTAAGTGACATATTTTTACAGAAGCCTATCTAGAAAATAGATCTTGATTATAAAGAATCAAGTAGTTAATTATTTAGAACTTATTGAAGTCTAATTTTGAAACACACTTTTTTAGAATAAGACCATTTTGAGAATTTATTCTAAAAAATTTAGAATAAAAAATTTTCTTGAAGAAGAAAGTGATTTTTAATGAAAATAATTTTCTCCTTACAATTTCGATTAGACACATACACTCACATTGCTTCTTCCCACATTGTTCGTTGTTTTTCCTTCTTCTTCATGAACACCAACGTCATTAGAGACACTAACATTGTTGAATTCTTGAGAAATTTTAGTCTAGCTTTCTACGTCCACATGCCGACGTTCATCAATGTCCTCTTGAAAGACTAATAAGTGGTAAATGTGCTATGCTCTAGAAATCCTTTTTTCCTTTTTTTGAAGGAAAACATTTTTCTCACAAATAATTTCCTACCACTTATATTACTTAAAATTTTCTAATGAAAAAAATTTCCCCAACCAAATACACCATTCTAATATAAAGAAAGTGTTATTTTTTCTAAAATGAATTAATATTTAAAAATAAATAATCCAAATAATTTTTTACTTTCATACTCCGTAGTACTCCATATTAAACACACTTTGTCTGAATCTACTTGTTTACTCGGTACTTCCTAAAAGTCGTCATTTTTAGAAATTGAGTTTAAATACCAAATAAAATCTTAAAATAAGAGGGGACCAAGGGGGTGCTAGGGTGAGGTGGGCAAGGGTACAAGTGAATTAGAGATGTAAGAACCATCAATTTTACAGAGCACCGCAGAGCCCTGAGATTTAATACGACCCGAGTCTCAAGGGTCAAAAAAATCCTTGCCGTTTATTATATTTATGATTCATCTGTTGGAAAACTTTTAAAATGTTATTTCAATATACTAATATGCAACACAAACTGAGTAATTGATGCTTTATCCAATTTGTCTCAAAAAAATGAAATTAGACAAATACACCAAAACACATAAAGTATTAAATAATAACCTTAAACATTAATTGAAAACAGCATTTCTAAACGAGGCTCTAGTATACTCGAGATAACAGAACAAATCCGTGCAAGAAAGGGGAAATGAAGTCATGGCAAAAGAGACTAAAACGAACCTATATTCCTGAATCTGAATAGTACAAAAGATCAGTCATCTCATCTTCTCAAAGAAAACATCAATGAATCCATCCCATCATCTAAGAGGGAGGGAGGGAGAGACCCAATGTATTGAATCCCAAGACACGCCGGACAAGGCCCCTTTTTCACTTCTTTTTCTTGTTCTGCTGATCTCCTCTTTCCCTCTCCTTCTTCTTGTACAGTCTGTCAAGAACATGCTTCGCTTCGCACTGTGGGAAATTTGTGATATCGTAATAATGCGGTGCAATGTCAATCAACCTGTATCCCAAGTAATGGACCACAAACAAGCAGTAAGATTTCTTTTTCTCTGTTTTCCTTCATTACACCATACTTCTAAGCAGAAAAGGACTCCAACTCCAATAGAATGAAATGAAAAGAGCAACAGGCAGAGATAATATATGGATCTTGTTGGTTCAAAAGTTCCCATTTTTTAAGCAGAAAAAGCAGCAAGAACTCAAAATAGACTATCAATTGGTGAAGTTTCCTATCCCCCCCCCCCAAAACCCAAATATGGTGAACTCCATATTAATGAATAAAAGATGCAAGACATAAAGTAGAAACATAATTTAAATATATAAAAACTGACCATTCTCCTCTGATATCAGTCACTGTGCGTATGAATTTCCTGCTCGTTAACACATATTCATTGTATATAACCCATTCTGGCTTATGATCCAGGCAGTTTGAAGGGTGTAGGTGAACCTCCTACAAATACATAATTTGTCATATCAAATTTAATTAGTGCCGCACATCTAATAAAAGCTTGTCCTACACTTACCACATTTCAAGAAAAGATAATTAATGAACATATAAAAGTTACTCCACAAATAGCTGGTGCATTTGCACAGGAAAGAGAACATACTTGATTGTCCTTCACTGTCAAATAGTGACCGGTGCGTTCCATATGCGCCACCTGCATGAAATAGCCGGCCAACATGGCCTTTCTTATGTTGATGTAGTAGTCACGGCTGTTGAAGTCGGTGCTACATAGCTTGAGGTTGAATCTAGCCATAATGCGTGCTAGTTGCTGCCTTACATTGTCTGCAGACTTGAGAGCCCTATGATTGATGAAATTCTCATAGCACCACTGTTGATCCTCCTCTGTAAATACAACAAACCCTTATAATCCACAACTTGTCAAATTCTTAAAATTGAAACGGCACAAATAAAAGTGAACTCACGATTTTGCTTGTAGGCATGGTATACATTCAGCAGCGTGAGGTGATCTCCATCAATGTGACTAAAACGACCCTTCGCTTCGTCCGCAGCTTTTTGAGCCTCCCTAGGCCGGATAAAGCAGTTGGGTACTATAGAAAAAAGTGGTTATCACAGAGGAGGGTCCACTGTGTGGTCAGCAGATGCATAGAGGCCAGACGATACCATTTGCTTCATGAGAGAATACTGAGAAACTGCAACTATCTGCATCAGCACTAGCTTAGAACCTCTATGGTGCATGCCAGCGGGGGGCATGGAATCCATACAAGACAGTTGCTGATGACAACCTAAGACGACACAGAAAACCACACACATGTGCACACTTGTGCTCATGTGTGCAGTCCACAACATCCATGGGTGCATAGAATCATATCTATGCACGAAAAAGATGAAGGCATGGAGAAGAAGACTTCCCAGCCAGACAAGACCAACAGTAATGTGGACAAATACCACACTTACATACTCAACAAATAGCAAAAGTAAATAGTAAAATGATACCTGATAGCATGGCAGATACAGAGAGAATCTCATTGGAGCAGTTGAATTCAGGGCTTACAACGAGCATTTTTGCCATTTGAGGATCTAGGGGTAACTCACTCATGATTTCGCCCAATTTTGTCAGGTTTCCTTCATCATCCAAAGCCCCAAGGTAATTCAAAACCTCCAAAGCTCTCATCAATGTTTCTGGTGCAGGTGGATCCATAAAATCAAAATGGACCAGGTCATCAATCCCTAGTTTCTTTAAAGTTAAAACAGTATTAGAAAGGTTTGATCGGAGAATTTCAGGATATGTCTGTGGTTGAAGATCATTCTGAAAGCTCTTTTCTGTATAAAGTCTATAACATTTTCCCGGCTGTGTTCTTCCAGCACGTCCAGATCTTTGGTGAGCACTTGCTTTTGAAATAGGAGAGACCAGCAGAGATTCAACACGGACTCTGGGGTTGTAAACTTTTTGCTTTGCAAACCCTGGATCTATAACATATACTATACCATCTATAGTCAATGACGTCTCTGCAATATTTGTAGATACAACCACCTTCCTTCCAGGAGGACCACCTGCCACAAGTGGCGGGGGAGCAGGTTCAAAAATCTTCTGTTGCATTGTGGGAGGGAGTGTTGAATAAAGAGGAACCGCTTTAATTGGGCCCACTTGATCTCCCAAATTGTTAATTTCTTTTGTAATCTTCCTACATGCGTCCTCAATCTCTTCCTCTCCAGTTAGAAAAACAAGGATGTCACCAGGAGGTTCGCACATATGAATCTGCACCACAGTTCGAATTGCTGCTTCAAGGTAATCCCTCTCGGGCTCCTGCGTGTAAAAGATTTCCACAGGATGTAACCGACCAGGAACTTTCATGAGAGGTGCACCGTAAAAATAACCCTGAAATTTTTCAGCCTCAAGAGTTGCACTCATAACAACTAGCTTGAGGTCCGGTCTGTTTTTCAAGACCTCCTTAAGAAGCCCAAATAGAACATCAGTTGCCAGTGTCCTTTCATGAGCCTCATCAAGAATGATAACCTTGTATCTTTCCAGAAGAGGGTCTGTCATGGCTTCTCTTAGGAGCATACCATCTGTCAAATACCTGTTAACAAAACATACAAGGCTCAGTAAACAATTGGCTGTTTGCAAGAAATAATGGTTGAATATGGAACACAACGGTAAATTTCAACAAGCAAAATTAATAATATGTTCATAATTACTTCAAAACTGTACGAGCACTACTGCAATCTTCAAAACGAATGCTATAACCCACTTCCTCTCCAATAGTCACATCCATCTCTTCAGCAACTCGACGAGAAACAGACATAGCAGCAACCCTCCGTGGCTGAGTGCACCCAACCATATACTTCCTACGTTTATCAGGGGTTTCCACCTCAATGGCATCAAGGACAAACTGGGGTATCTGCCACAAGTAGAAAGATATGAGAGTTAAACATTTGAAACAGGAGCATTTAAAAGTGGATCATACACATTATTCACTTTGATGAAGCATAAAATACACTTTTGAGTCCAGTTATACAGATAAAAATTGCCTGCCCTCTTTGATATGATTATGTTGCATGTGACCTACACACGAATTTGGAAAGTGTAAAGCATATGAAAAAAAAGCATATGGGGGCTCAATACTCTTATTACCTCACACATACTTGAAGGGAAGGAAAAAAACTTGTCTTGCAGCTAATTTGACCTAGAAGGATATGATGTTTCTTAATAGTTATGAAAACTGTGAGGTTAGTATATTACTCCAGTCTTCGTAAGATAATTCAGCTGGAGAGTTACAGTGTCGTTACCCAAGCAATGGAAACATTTCAAACTGTTTACTGTTGTGATTATCTGGTAGTTGGGTTTATTCTCAAGAAAAATATTTTCCTTCCAGAATACTAAAGCTAAATTCTAGGCAGTACATGATACGTTGCCGCAAAGCGTCAGACATCACACAACAACCCAGTTCGTTGTGTCTGTGGAGGATGTGTATGCAGACCTTACCCCTACTAGAAAGTAGGGGTAAGGTAGAGAGGCTGTTTGCCTGTTTCCCAAAGGTCAGACATCTTCTAAAAGACTACCATGTTTTCCTTTTTTGGGCGTCCCAAAGAGAATTTCTCATTCCATTAAGGAATGAAAGTAGCAATTCACAAGAAAGTCCACAGAGGGAGTATTAATTTTTCTCCTAATCTTTTCGGTATCCAATATGAAATAAGATCATATACAACAGGAATTGAAAAAAAAAACTTTAGATAACATAAAAATGATAGAAAAAAGTATGGATCAATCCCAAATTTGTAGGCAGTTATGGCACAAGAGCGATGGGATTTCAAAGCCAGCCAAAGAGGAAAAAAATCGAACAGACCTGAGTGGTTTTACCACTGCCGGTTTCACCGACCAAGATGAGGGTTTGATTGTCTTTCAAAGTTTGCAAGAACTCATCTTTCTGGTGCCAAACAGGAAGAGTCTTCCTCTTCTCCAAGATCTCAAGGTACCTCTGGGAGTAGGGCTTACCAGTCCACTTATTGACAGAGGAAGACAGGGAGACGATTCCCGGAAGCATGGGAGAACCTAGACCGTTGAGCTTCGCCGCCTTCGTCGAGCCGTCGTCCACCACGTCGAACAAACTCACCTTCCTCTTCCGCTCAGTTCCCATCAATCGAATCTTACGAGAGGAGCAGAACTCCTCGCCGTCCACCGCACAGGGTATATTGTGGGAACGATACCGAGGATATTCTGGACCCGACCCGCGTTGATTTAGGGGAAATTTGTCACCAGCCTCACTCTATACGGAGGGAGCAGAGATGGGATGGAATGCGTCGTGGATATATACGGATTCACCCTATTTGAGAATCTGTTGGGCCGGCCCAACTTATATAATTTTTCCCCCAAATTGGGCTTCTAACGCCATGTTTGTCAGGTTCCTATTAACATTAAATGTTTTAAATTTACTTAATTTGAGAGAGCTATCGGATAAATTATGAATTTAGTATTTCTTGATTTTATTTGTATTATAAAAAAAGATTAAAGTATGAGTAAAACATTGAAAATCTACCAAAATAAGAGTTTCATATGTTTATTTTCGAAATAGGAGTTAAAATACATTTACAATGTCAATCATTTACACATACATTACTCCAAAAAGTATTGTGAATTGTTCATTTATAATGTCACATTACCACAATGTGAACTAATATTTTGATATTTTTTTATGTTCTACTCATATTTAGAGAGATTTTGTCAGTTCTACTGTTTAAAAATTATTTAAAATTTTAAATTAATTACGAATGCCATGAAAATGTGTTTGCTTTATTTTCTTCTGGCTTGGGCAATTTGTATAACACATTGGGATACATGCACAGCCTAAATATTTTTCTACTTGTCGATTGTACGCTTCTTTTCATACAGCCGATATTTTTCGTACACCTGAAGGCGAGAAAACTCTAGCTGCAAGGCTACGATCACAAAAGAAGTAGAAGAGAAGCGAAAGTAGAGTTGAATCTAAGCTCGACCGCGAAGCCCATGATCCCCTTCGTTAGAGATGAAGAGAAACAGTAAGGCTGGAAAAGCTCGATGATGGACAGCCATTCCCTTCGATGGGAAGGAACATGAAGAAGCACAACATCTTCTAGGTTCTAGCCGGCCAAGGGAGGAAGGAAGGTGTGAATTTGGACTGTGCGAATACTATAAAATGAGTATGGTTACTCTTAAATGAACATTTTATATAATTATGATAACATTATGCAGTTCTTAAATGTGTATACACATCCATTTTATAATCCACTTGTTCTGAACAAATCTCAAAATAAATGTTCAAAATGATATGGTGTTGTTCGCAAATCACTTTCAAACAAATATACAACTAATATGAATATAAAATGCAAAAAAAATGAACATTTTATTACTCCTATATGACTATTTACCAAATGTACATAGAGCATTGTATATCAGACCGTATAGCAACTCGTTTTGCGCAAGATTTGCGTAGTCTTTTTAACAAAAGTCTAGTGAACTTGTTGCCTTATTTAAAAGCTAAATACTCTCTCCGACTCCAATTAAGTTGCATGTTTACTATTCACATAAACAAATTTCATTCATTTTTCTCTCTCAACTTTTGTTACAAATGTGATGATATAATATTTACATTGGACATGTCGCCTTTTATCTAGTAGAGCTTTTGATTAATTTTTTTAATAAGCAAATTCTGTTTTTTAATTCCGCTCCAATTCTAAAATTATATTGAAAATAACTTTAATCAAATCTCAAAAAGAGAAATGTGTATAAATAAATTTAAAAAACCAAAAAAAAGACGCTCTTAGAAATGTTACCTACAAGAGGGAGCGCTAATATTTCCTTACACGCCGTTTATAAATGTTAACAAAAAAAGGACTTCAAATTTTGGAACTAACGATCCATCAGGCTAATCATGTTCAGACAGATTACAGAGCCGTAGCGCCTTTCAAAAATTCGCCATCTATCACAAGTTTCATGCTTTCACAGAACTGAGACGATGCATTTGAATTTAGACGTACCGATAGTCAATTGTCCAGTGGAAGATGGAAAGACTTCAGTATGTCTTTTTCCTTGCAGATGTCTTTCTCGCGTCTTTTCTTACATTGCTGCCAGATCCTGATGCAGCAGACATCACCATCGCAGCAATGGCTTGATATAAATCCTTCAATCTGCAGAGTACCATTTTCAAAAAGAGCACAATTCCACTTAAAATAAGAGGTTTTTTTGGAAAATGGTTATGAAAGGAGAATGAAACAGAATTCTTCAATCAATGAAAGAGAATCCCCAGCAATTGAAGCTTAATTTTTACCTCGGCATGCTAATGAAAAGTAGAATAACTGAGACTCCAACAATGAGAGGATACGCATGAACTGGAGTCAATTCCTGAAGATAACAAGGGAAATTTGAGAAAGCACGCAACAGAACTAGAGTTAAATATGTTTTAGGTACTTGTAAAATGAGTCACTTTTGTTTTTGGTCCCCTTGAAATATTTTTTAGTTAAGGCATCCCTGTAAAATATATTTTTTTTTGCAGATGGTCCTCCCACCAATTTAGAGTTAATGTGTAAGGGTTCACAAGGACTAAAAACAAAATCACTTTGGACTTTAAAAATCTTAGAGGCACCAAAAACAAAATCGCTAATTCTATAAGGACTAAAAACATATTCAACATGAACTTAAAATTTTAAAAAGTTAGTGGGAGGAGCATTTGCAAAAAAAGAAATTAAAGGATTAAATTATTATAATATATTTCAGAAACCCAGAAAAAGCTTGTGAGAGAAAACAGAAAGAAAATCGGAGAGAAGTTGGCAAAAAGATAGTACAAAATAAATAAATCACTTTACTTTTTATATTTTTTGTTATATAAAGATTGCGAAGTCTAAATGTATGTAAATATCTATAAATATTTAATAAAGCTTGATTTTCCTTCATTTTTTTCAGTGTGCAAATAACATAAAAAAAAAAACTTTTCCTTGGCACTTTTTCTGTTTCCGTGGCAGCTCCAAACAGACCCCATAGAATATTAGCTTGTCAATAAAAGACACTAGAGAAAAAATAAAAACTTGCAAGGGAGCCAAGTTAGACATTTAGTAAAACAGAGGCATACCTGTTTCTGGTGATCCTCTTCAATTCTGTATCTGAGAGGGCCTACATGAATTTGCCTATTTTTCTCTAAATCAACCTCAATTACTTCCGATTCAAACCTGTGGGTGCCCAATAGCGTAGCAGACCGGAGTTGCAGAAGGTGTTTGCCTTTGGGCAAGTCTTTCAACGTGAAAAAGTTTGAAAGAGGCAGCGGGAAGACAGATTCAATCTTCATTGGGTGAGTTGCAGACTTAACTTCCACCTGAATTTCTGGTTGAAAGTCTTTCATTTTATGCCCCACGACATGGCAGCTTACCATGGTCATCTCTGGCTCTTCAAATACAACAAAATCTAACCCCCTATAGTCATCAGTCCCGACCTATAATCAAGCAAGCACAACCAATAAATTCTTAAATCCTCTTAATTCTTAAACCTAGCAACACCAAACTTTATTGAATGGATAGTTATACACTAATACCACTACTACAGTTGGTCTACCTAACAGGGTGCACTCAAGAGAAGAGCTTTGCTACATACTCCCTCCGTCCCAGAAAGAATGCCACAGTTACTATTCTGGCCTCTCGATAACTTTTGTTTGTTTACTCGTTTTGGTTGACCATTTGACAAAATAAAATATTATTGTCGCATCTTGTTTTGTAGAACTTTTCATATACTTTTGAATGGTGTACTTTTTACTTTTTATTACTTTACCAATTTGAAATTAAAGTGATTTTAAAAGAGATGATATTTTGCACGTCGTTCGAAGTGTTGCAAATAAATTGGGACGGAGGGAGTATATTAGAGTGACGCATTTTGTCTGGTTGCTAAAATAGCATCTACTTCTCTCATTTTGTCCAAAGCAGCTATCTCGCACTGGCCATTAAATCAGCTTGATATGAACAACGCTTTCTTACATATATATGTAGGGCAAGGTTCTAGTATTCCCTGTCTCATGGAAACATCTCTACTTTGGAGTAGAGGCAAGGTCTATGTACACATACCCTCCCCAGACTCTACTCTCGGGGGATCCAACTAGGTTGTTGTTGTTGTCCCTCTGTCCCGAAAAGAGCTTCCAACTTTGACTTTACAGTATTCAAGAAAAAATGTTGAAAAGTGAAAAGTGTATGGGTGAAATGTATTTAGAAGGGAGAAATTTTGTAGGCCAAAGTGTGAAGTTTTTTTGGGGGACATCTAACTAAGGAAAGTGTAAAGTTTCTTGTGGGACGGTGGGAGTAGCTAATATGAATGACATTACAAGTAATGACAAACTGATGTTGTTTATCTCGAGCACCATTTGTCATGTTACATTAACAAAGGATCTAGGGACAATGCGGTACTTTTTCAGTATTGAGGCTGCTTATTCCATAAACATGTGTTTCTATACGCCAACGAAATTATGCATTCCGAATCTCAAACGAAACTAGGTTGTTGAATTCCAAACCAGTCCACACTCCTATGGATCCAAATGTTGGACTTTTGGCCAAGCAAGAAGAGCCATATTCTGATCCAAAGCGGTATGAAAACTTATGAGCAAGCTGAATTAGTGTTATCACTGTTGAAAGATATCTTATAGTACATGAAAAACTAACAAAACAAGGCGCTGCTGGAATGTTGAATCTTGAAGCGAAGTATAGGGCCATTGCACTCACTACAAATATACTCATCTCGCCAAAGTATTTACTTCAAGAATTAAGATGGTGCAAAGTTTAATTTCAGAGTGTAAACTTTGCACCATTTTTTTGTTGAGAAAAAAAGATGGTGCAAAGTTTACACCCTGAAATTAAATCTATTATTTATGATGATCAAGACTCTTCATATTTGCCCCCATCTAGTTTTGTAATCCCTCCATCCCTAAATAAAATTCTCACTTTCTTTTTCCATTTGTCTCAAAAAAAACTTCTCAATTCTTTTATTTCAATTAAAGGAAATGAAAAAGTGGCTAATATCATTTTCTCTCCTCGAAACAATTTTTATCCACACACTTCACTTTTCAACAACTTTATTAAACTTCGTGAAGTCAAACTATGACTTTTATTTAGGGACAAATGGAGTATAAAAGAACTAAAAATATAGAAACTGATTGTCATTTCATACGGGATAAATTTCTGTCTAAGAAAATTAACACGTCACAATCAACTTAGGGATAAATTCACCATCTCTTTAAGAGGACCTCAGATAGCCTGCATTTGTAACATGCTTTGTAAATATGACATGTATGCACCATGCCACCAGCTTCAGAGGGTGTTTATGTATCTGTCATAAAGCTTGATATTGGAGTAAAATATTTTTCTTTTCTTATTGTCTACTTTGTACGAGCCAAGTTCCGAAAAGAGAGGTATTGGTGTTTTTAACTCGTATGTGGGTCAGGGGCTCAGGGCCTTTTTTCATTACAGAGATGTAAAACTAATTCATTGGTTATATTCAAGTACCATTCTGGCAAAGATAGGAGTAAGGTGTGTCGCTAAATTTAACCATGGAATCAATACAAACCTAATACCATCTAAGGGACTCAATGTCTTTCCTCTTATGCATTTTGAATATCCTTCCTATCAACATCAAAGATTATTGTTAAGAAGATAAATGCTGGCTTTCTCTTCGGGGAATGAAGAAATCATAACTTTGGAATAAACAAAGTTATCCTTGTAAAGACAGAGAGACTATATCTGTTACACCCTACATACATGGCTACATGCATTGGTGCATTTACTACCCCAAAACTGCGCAGAAAAAAAAGAAGCAAGGGAAGTTTAATGTGTTTGTGTCACTTTGGTTTCATCCATTATGTGCGCGAAGCTAAAATATTTTCAATAGTCACTCTTTAAGGTCCATTGGCAATGGATGGTAGGTATCTAAATGCAGGCTCTTGATAGCAACTAAACTTAATGTTATAGCAAAGAACAGATGAAATTAGAATGGAATAATGGATGCAATAATGATGGAATGAGGTTTTATTGCATAAGCAACAGGACAAAAGTGCAAAATTCCAACCTTAATGGTTATAGACTCTGGAGATGCACGTTCAATAAGATGGTTACCATAACCAACCCTTCTCAAAACTCTGATTTCATACGTAGTGTCAGGTAAAAGACCCCTCAGGCGATAGTTTCCTGTTGAGTCAGTTAAGGTTTCCTCATAAAAGCCTTCTGAATCTGCTCGAGCTTCTATTGAAACACCCTCTTTTGGCTGACCAGACAGAACAGTGACAACTCCCATGGCACTGGTAAGGTTGAACCACATAAAAACGAATAACAGGAACGAAGGAATACACCGAATCATCAACTCATGCATATATAAGTTCAAATATACTATATGCAACATCATATGAAGAGAAAAAGTAAATTACTAAATTCTTGTATGGATATACAAAATGCAATTCAAGGAGAAAGGTGTTCCCAATTGCATAAGGTCTGGCACATCATGGGGCATTTTTTATTACTTTTTATGTAGGAAGACATCTAGCTGGTATCATAATCACTCAAATGACATTTCATCACTGTCATATGCAGGGAAAATCAATAACATATAATTTTACTGTCATTTTCTATATGGTGCGGAGGGTGATAGAACCATTTGACCCCACCATGAACTATAGACTTTTGGTTGTAGCCCCGCTACCGGCCTGGTAGTGACACGCGACTGAAGCAATTAAATGCTAGTTCAATGATGATCTTTGCTTCTCGCCTTTTTGTGCACCAATAAGTTCAGTAACTCAGCAGCATGAAAGTGGCCTCCCCTTTCGGGAGAGTAACATTGGTGCATGGGCTACAACCCATGACATGTCACGTGTGCATCAAGTGTTTAACCACTTGAAGTGCACTTTGTTGTGAGTCACCACCTAATATATAAGGGGTTTAATGTTTTCTAAGGTTTCTATGATTAATACAATGCCATTTTGCAATATTTTCATAAACGTTGAGACATCATTTGAGTCATGTATCAGACGAATATGAATTGTTGTGCTTAACTATTTATATTGTTCTTGAAATGTATTTCATCGTCTCCATAGCATGGACGTTTTCATGTAAAATATAAAACATATATACATTTCAAATTCTAGACTCAAATATTGGCAAAACTTTTAAAATGTTTAGATTTTCTAGACTCGGGTTAATACTACCTACGGACTTTTTGAAGGGGTGAGTATAACGACCAATTTCGCATGTATACAGTATACCTGTATGCAACTCGAGTAGCATGAAAAATTATCTCTTTAGATTCACCAGAAACAAGTTCAATTGCCTGTGCAGGAGGTGAGAAAGCATACTCCTACAAACAAAAAACCAATCACAAGCACGATTTGACATCTGACATAATATTTGTGTGAATCTTATGATTTTGAGATCATAGAAATTCTGAATGTCAAAAACAACATCAGATTGGTCCCTTCGTGGTAAGGACATAAGGTCAAATATGGTCAATTAAAAGAAAGTTCAAACACTTGTGTTTTAGGCATTCAAAACTCACTTAATCATACAAACATTATCTCCAATATTACCTTAAGCAGAGGCCGGAGATAAAAACTCCCTGGAAATAAGTTGTCAAAAATAAAAGTTCCGCCAACACCGGTTACTGAATTGTTCCTATAACCATCTTCCCCGCTCAACGACAAGAGGGCTGATGGAAAAGGCTCTCTTATATCTTCATTTGAATAAATGCGCACATATATTTGACCAAGCTTCTGACAAGAAAATGAATGAGGCCCTACAGGCTTTATATGATAACCAGACTGCATGAAAGTTTAACAAAATGGTCAGAGACCAGCATATACCAGTTCTCTGGTGAATTAACATACAAGATACTTAAGTAGGATAGTGACGCATTGTGAACATTGATGTATGTCTTCAGCCTATTTTTCAGATGATATGTTCACTCCAGCTACTAGCTTAGTTAATAGTAATGTACACAGTTTTAATATTATGTACTCAACACCATCGAGCACCCAGAAGAGTGTATATTTTATATCATAAGACAGACCCAAATTAATACGTCAAAAATTATGAAAACATAATCAACTGATTGAGATGAAAAGAGTCTGTACATTTCAAGTTTTCAACTTATTTTCAATTAGTTGAGTTCAGTTCAGCATTTTTCAGTAAAAACAACTAACATTTCACTTCAGTTGATTCAAATCAACATCGACAACAACCTAGTAGAGTCCCAAAATTGGGATTGGGGGTGTACGCTGACCTTGAGGGAAAATGCCTTGCATGTCTCATATATGCAATATGCCATTTGGAACATTGCAATGAGCCAATGACTAACATTTTTGGCAAGGGAATACTTACAAACAACACATCTACTTCCTCTTGACTTCCTCCTCTAGCCCCACTTGGGATGCGTAAGAGAAAACAACGTTTAGGGTGCTCTTGTTGACCACAAGCTTGACGGTTATCAACATGAGGTCCATATCAACCAAAATGCCTAGCATGTTCTTGTTCCTCGTACCATAACTTATACGTCTCCACCTATCTAGCTTTGGTACCCACCCATCTGGTTTCTTGGATAAACATTAAAAAAATCTTCCTCTTTTGAAGGGTCTTCACCAACTTTATCAATTTCCCTCTCAAAGTCGCTATGTTCCACAACCCAACTCTCAACTCAGACACTCTCTTAAATCTCCTCCCTAGCTCCTCCCCCCCGTGAACGACACAACCCTATGACATCATTTTCCATTATAGCAACTCTAACCTCACCAACTACACCTGCTAGTTAGGCAAACATACAGAACAGGGCTTTAAGAATCAAAAATGGAGAAGAGGTAAAATTTAAAAACTAAGGTGAGCAAGCAACAGTTCAATTCAATTCAGTAAATTTCAGTCAGAAAAAAACACATATTGATGAATCCTTTCCGTTAAAACTAACCTTTGAAGCTTCGACGTGGTAATTAACATCATCATATAAAGGCCCTGCAACATAAAATCCGTCTACCCCTGTACTAACTTCAGCTGCTACATCCCCTTGCTTGAGAGGAGCACTATGGCTTTCCCCCGCAGCAATGATTTTGATGTTAATGTCAGACAGGGGGGGTGAGACTGATCCTTCAATATATAATCCTATGCGACCATAGAATGGGGGAATTACTGGGGGGCAATCCTCTTGCATCAAAGAAACCTAAGCATACAACGTGAATGCACTTCAGACATGAGTATGATAATGATTCCAGAAGAATATAAAACTATAACACTCCATACATGCTGTTGTCTGGGGTAGAACAGTATCTTTTTTTCCCCATCACCCCTGCCAAACAGCAAATTAAGCATTCATTAACAATGATGACAGGCAGTTAGACCATGTAAGGACACTGGAGAAATATGTAAGGATTCAGGGATTAATATACTCCGTATTAACCATGCAGGGAAACAAGCTAAAGATACAGGAGGGAGAGGGCTCAGATTATAAGTGCAGCAACTGTAATTACATACCGAGAGTCTTGAGGAACAAAAATGAATTTATCTCCCGGTATTGCCCATGTTGAATATTCATAAACAGTAACAGATTGATTAATATCATTATGGCTAGGGATTGCAGCAATACGACCAATCACAGAACCTTCAGTGTCTAATACATCAACTTGAATGTTTTGGGGCATATTTTGTGAACCACTAGGCGAACTTGGGTCAACGTGAAGATGACCCTTCAGAAGATATTTCTCTCCTTTTAAAGAGATTGGCTACAAAAACAAGAAAATAAGTAATGAGAAGAGAGATAGAGGAGAGAAGTGAAACACACTATGAAATCTGGATAATTGAAAGCTAGTGAACATAATACCAATGGATCAGAAGTATCAATTATCAGAGAGGAGCTCCTGAAGGAAATACATGATTTATGAAAATTCAGCTCATGCACTCCGGGAGATTCCACACATAAATGCTGAGATCCCTTCTGTAATATAACCATGGTGGAGGATGAAAGAAAAATATTGAGCTTCAAATGAAAATAGATGTTTCATAAAATTGTGATTGTCTCTAAGAGATGCCCATTTTAACATCATATAGAGCTAACCTTTATCTTGAAGTTCACAACAGAACTGTCTTGTGTGAGGAAAGCATCTACCTCATGACTTGAAATAATATTAACCCAGTACCCCTTCTGTACAAATGATAGTCCTTTAACATCATTGGTCCCAACATTAATATTGGTAAAACTTTCATCCCAGCACCATCTATCTTCCCCAGAAAGTGCTACTAAGGGGTTCTTGACCTGAAAATGAACAAAAGCATACAAAAAAGAAAATATAACTTCTATTTAGAAAAGGCTCAGGTGAGTGGATATTTCAAATTTTGCAATTTCAAGTCCACACATTCTATATTCAAGCACTCTCTTAAATGCATTATAGCATTTGCATCATTCAAGCATTATAGCATTTGCATCATTCAAGCAGCTAAATGAATATGTGTGCAATCAGCATGATGCACAATTTGAGTTAAACAAGTTTTAGATATTATTTATTTGTGTGTGTACTCCCTCCGTCCTAAAACATTCTTCCCATTTTGGTTTACGAGGTTTGACTGAATTTATTTTCAATTCAATTTATTTGATTATAGGTGTAATATTTTAAAATAAAATATATACATTTAAAAACTGCATTTAAAGCTCTTCAAAACAAGGGGTGACATGACTATATTATTTTATCAAATAACTAAAATAAATAGGTGATGAAAGTGATTAAAGTTTGAGCATGTGAATAGAAACTGGGAAGAAAGTTTTAGGACGGAGGGTGTGTGTGTGTGTGTGGATATAGCAGGCAGAGATGGAAACATATTACCTCAACCCTATATTTACCAGGAAGGACATTTGAGAAAATGAATTCATTGCTGTCATTTGTCAAATGTGTTAGCTTCCTCTGATCCTTGTGCTTGCCTTCCAGGTGCACAAGAGTAAGAGAAACAGAAGAACCACACTTCTCTTTGCATACAACAGATCCTGCTATACTCACTTGCACCTTAAAAGTACAGGAGATGCATTATGTTAGTTGAAGTTCAATGCTTCACAAGATATGCGCTGCTTAGTAAGAAATTTATTCTGAACTTCAACAAAAGAAATCTTCAATACTACATTTGGTGGTCAAAATTACCTGTTTAAATTCAATGTTTAATACTGGCTTTCTGACTGAAATGTCAACATGAGGAGGGGAGAATAAAAGATCTGGAAAATTTTCAGGTGTTGCTGCAATTGCAGATAAACGGTATTCCCCTGGCGTAACCTGTGGCAAAAGGTCTGTGATTAACTAAACTTTTTTGTGAAATATAGTTAGAACAGATACCAGCACACCAGTCATTAAACTAGCATTTAATGACACACAGAATCAAGTTTACTTGTTTTCAAGTATTACACAAAATCACATGCAAATTTGATTTCGCTTATCATCTGGGTTAATATAGTATAGAACATCGAACAAACAAGAAAACAAAACTGATCACTTTGAGGTAGGATCCTAGAATAACGATAAAAAGGCTCCGGAAAAAAACATATGCATGCTAATGTTTTTTCCATTTTTGTTTTTGACTCTGAAAAGACATCTTAGCATACCAGCCATTAAACTAGGATTCCTACAATATAGTAAAACTCAAAAGGCCATTATCTGCTCGCACATTGGTCCACTGAAGATGGTTAATTACTTGGATAGCTGGATTACGAACTCTGTTTAAGAAAAAACAGAACCTGAGAGAGTTCTTCCAATAAAATTAAGTTACTGAGAATATCACTTCAAGAACGCATTTGACCGAATATAGAGTATCAGCTAGTTATCATGGTATGTAAGATTAAGCAATCACAGGCTGCGAAATGTGAGATGAAACAAAAAGAGCTGAAGCAATTACTATCGAGCTCTTCCACCAACATACCTCAAAACAAAAATTTCCACTCTGATCCGTCTTTTTCACTTGAGGTTTCATGTTTTCTGGTCCATGAGTTAGAGTTACCTGCATTGATGAAACCCCTTTTAAGAAAGCAGAAAGAAGACAGTATTATTATCATATAATGATGCTAAACCCAATAGGAATAATAGACTCACCTAATGAGAATTGTCAATCATAAATCTTCTAAAACTAGGATCACTATATTCTACTCCCTCCGTCCCTAAATGGACGCCACTATCACTATCACAGCTCCTCAATAACTTGTTTGTGCATTTTCATTTATCATTTGGTAAAATAAAATATTCTTGTCACCTCTTGTTTTGTAAAACTTTTGATGTATTTTTGAACGGTGTACAACAACAACAACAACAACAACAACCCAGTTGAATCCCACATGAGAAGGGTCTAGGGAGGGTGTGTGTACGCAGACCCAATTGAATCCCACAAGAGTATGGTATGGGGAGGGTGTTTGTACGCACACCAGTTGAACTTTCTTGCACGTTCTTTAGAGTGTGGTATCAATTGTGGGACGGAGGGAGTATTATTTTATTAATTCTAAACTTAGAGATGGAGGGAGTAGCTTTTTATGTCTATGATTCTTCCATAAATCATGTGCTAAGAAAACTTGTGGCTTAAAGCTGAAAATCATTTTCAAAGTTATATAGTTTATTAGTTCACTAATGTAAGAAGACATTCCATAGTCCTGGGTGTCTTCCAGTGGTCTTCTAGCCACTAGTTTGGCTCGATGATTTGGGTCAGTTTTTGGGACAAAAGAGGAAACCACAACCAATTTACACCAGTTTGATTTAGTTTTTTATGTTTAATCTTGAATCTTTTTATTCAAATTATGTAGGTTTTGATTAAATTTGAATCTTTTTATTCAAATTATGTATGTTTAATCTAACTCAAAATGATAAGGGTAGTAAATGCAGCAATACATCAAGGGACGACAAGGGTCTAATAGAAACAGCTTCTCTGTTTTTACAAGGGTAAGGTTGCATCTATTTTGGCCCCCAAGACCCCAACGGAATGAGGATTATACTAGGTTGTTATGTAGGTTGTGATTCAGCTTTTTTTGTTCAGTTGGTGGTTTTTGATTTGTTGAACCAACCCCTAGAACCACTTGAGAATTGAAATACAACTTGAACTTGATTTTTGATGCTCACACAAACATCCTCAACTTAAACTTTAAATTTCTGGATTCGTTTTATGAAGGTTATCCCATAATGCCACCATGTAAGAGAACAGGGTAATGTTTGGGTAATGTGACTCTCTGATAACCTTGGGATTCTTAAGTATTGTAGAGAGCTGGTCTCCTAAAGAGTCTAAACAGGGCACGTGCTATGCTCTAATTCGTGTCATTCTACTCTCTGAAGTGTCATTACAGTAATGTGCACTTTGTCTACATTTTCAATGATGCTTATGAATAAAGTTTGAATGAAAAAGGAAACCAAAACAAAAAGAGTAAATACAAGAAAAGATTGTTTACATCACATATTGGGTATTCCATTGCTATCTGCACTGCTATTTATTAGATTATGGCTTAACTAGCACACTATATATGACCAAGTACTATTTAGTATTTACTGAATTCTAAAATGATACCTAAACAGACCTGGTTTGAACCTGCTTGGTTCCTATGAATAAATTTTGGCAAAAAAAAATTTGTTTAAATTTTATACAAAGCCTATTAATTTTCTATAGTATTCAATGTGTCACATCTTAGCAGCAACAAGTGAACAAGCTAGAAGTTACATAAATTTTTAAAGTTATCATGGTAAAAGTACTGCGCCTTTTTTAGTTATATGAAAATGTTATAACTAAATAAAATGCTTAAATGATTGGGACAACAAACTAAAGTGGGATTTGGTCATACCTTAGCTGCATAGTTGCTATTAAGAGTCCGAACACTCCCACATACATCATATGACAAGGAGTTGATATCAGCAATTGAAGCCATATTTGGTAAAACCTAAAAGTTCAAATTTTCAGGTGAGAGAAGATTGAAACTGGGTATTCAGTCACATTGAAGAGACGCAATACTGAAGATAATATATACCTTGTTTTAAAGAAAAATAAATTGAATCTACAGTCATTCAAAGCATGTAATTGCATAGTTAATTAGCTTACCAAAAAGTCATTCAGTTTGTTAAACCTGTAGTGCTCCTTCTTTGCCTCCAAATTGTAACGTTTTGATGTGACCTAGAAATAGTCAAAAGGAAAAGAAAACTAAAAAGGAGCCTACAGAACTTCTGATATCATAAATACCGCAGGCTATTACTTTTATTCTTTTGATGAGAACATTATTCCTGAATGCATCAGGAGTTGCAGATAAAGTACATACGGATAAAAAAGACATCGCCCAGTTAATCTAGGTGAGCCAGTGGTGGGGGAGGGCAACCCCCGTGGCTCACTCTCATTGCCTCATTTTAAGCAATGTTTGCTTACAACCCAGTCTCTTGTATGTTTGAAATAGTTGTACACATCACTCCTGAATATTTGATCTTCGCCATTCATCGTATTTGTAAGTTTGCATAAATAGAATTTGCAAAATGCTACATGTATCCTTATTCTGTTCCATAAATTAATGAAAAATCTTGGGGAAACAATAATGTGCACTACCTCACATATAAATGTGCATTATAGTGAATGAAAAAATGCATCATTCTCATTTCTCTGGTTTAGAGTCATTCTCGCCGGAACAGGGTCTATGATAATTAGAATGTCCCATATTGCGACAAGTCACAAGCCGGAGAGGCCCAAACAAGGCAGGGCAAGTCATTGCGGACGGCTTTGGTTTGTCCCTGACCCCAACCCATACCTCAAAACCAAACTTTCAAAAGAAGGTCAAAAAACTAAACAAATGATACATTGACAAATCCAGCATCTTGTTCTAAGGTGAGAGACACAAAAAAAAGGAAAATCATATACAACATTATCATTACTATAGTTGTCAAGGCTTGAACTGTATATTACAAATTTATTTTGGGGGGATCCCTTTTGAGAAGGATGTCATATTAAAAAAGAAGCTTTCCAACATTAATTTTTTTTCGAGTTCATGCATTTTATCTATTTATTGCTTGATTAGTTATATCTACTTGTCTAGGCTGTCTAGCTAGTTTTCATATTAGTATATGGATTATGGAGCATGTGATGAACATTTGGATTATCTCAACTTTTTGGGTAAGTCAAGTATATGTCGATTAAAGTGATGGTGTGATTATATTAAATTTTGTTTTTAAACAACAAGATCAATAATGGTTCAATTAGTTGATAGATAATTGCCTAGATATAGGGATTGCTAGTAAAACATACATAATCAAAAGGTCTACCAATCACTTCTAGAGATAGAAAGGCTGGGGACCTGCATTGAGAATAATATTAGGTAGTGTTTGGGAACTAGCATTTCATTTCAATTCTTGCATTTCAATTAAAAAATTTGAATACTTGAATTTCAAATGAAAAATTTTATTCATTGTAACTAAGCTTTACAATGAATTAGAGAAATTTGCCTCAAATCCAAATCCAAAATTTTATGACTACCAACCATGGAATTTGAACCAACTTCGGATTTGAAAGCCAAATTCAAGTTTCCAAACATGCCATAAATTAATTTATGGGCACAAGATTAGTGAGAGAGTTACACACGGTATCCATAAGGTTCAAACACTGACTTCTAGTGCTTTTTGAATTTCCCAAGCAAACTTTGGATTCTTTTACTTTTCAATAAAAAAACAAATGTAATCTTCTTTAATTTTACTAATTTTTACAAAGTCACCATGTTTTATTTTGCCTTCTCTCTTGTGATTTTTGAATTATTGAAGCAAACTTTGAATTTTTTAATTTTTCAATCAAAAAACATATTTAATGTTCTTTAATTTAATTTTATTTTTACAAAGTCATCATGTTTTATTTTTCGTTCTTCTTTGTGATTTTCAAATTACTAAAACAAACTTGGAATTCTTTTATTTTTCAAAAAATTAACTGTAGAGTTCTTTAGTTTAATTTATTTTTACAAAGTCACCATGCTTTATTCTAATAAGAAAAACAATAAAACATAATATAATATTCTTAATAGATTAAATAATAAATTTTTAAAGACCTTGTTTGTGTGGATACTACCTGGAGCAAAACTATCAGTAACAGTAGTTACAAAACTATCAACCTGGAGCAAGAAATTATGTGTTCTGTTTGTGTTATAGCCTTAATAAAAGAATATGATGTTTCCACAAGTATTGTATATATCTTACCTGGTCAAGCTTGTAATATCCTTCATTGTCAGTTATTGATCTTTCATGACCATCAACTATAACTTTGACACCAACCACTCCCTCACCATTGGCATCAACTACACGGCCACCAGCAGAAAATCCAGTGACCTATTTAAAATTATAGTTACAAAGTATGAAATAATGTGACTATAATACTATATATGGCAGAAGAAATTGAAGTTTGTACAATTAGTATTTGCTGAAGCAGGGAATGAAGCAAATTTACACCTTAGATTATGAAATTCAAAAGCCAACATAATAGTTATTGTGCAAGACATGTTCCAGGAGTTGGTTAAAGTTTGTTGATGTAGCCCCTTGATTATTGCACTTTCCCAATTTAGTCCCTTCTAAATTGACCAGATCTGAAACCTAATTTTTGAAAATTTACCACTTTTGTACTTAAAGGGACATATTTGGTTCCTTACTAAGATTAGAATTGGCATGATTGGAATAGACTGCCAAAGTTGAAGCATATGAAGAACTCTGAAAATGCAATAGTCAAGGGACTAAAACTGTTATTAACCATAGGTTTCAATTTTACATCCAATTAATTTCTCCTTTTTCTTAAGATATGCATTTAGCAAACTTCCTTTACAGACAATTTCATTCGGAATAATGAAATATAAAGGAAGTACCCATGTGATGTATCTCGGAGTTCTAGAGTGTACGATAACAATAGTTCTGAGACACAATTGACAACTACACCATGCATGTAAACGTTGAGGTGATGGAATATTATGATGGTAGGACTTAAAAGGCTATGATAAGAAGGGGAGTTCTATGTGGGTAAGTCCCAAGAAAGATGATAGTCTCATCACTTGTTAAAAGAATACATCAGAAAAAGAAAGAAAAATGTGTACCTGGAATTTCTGGGGGACTATTGTGTGGTCATGATTTACACTGACTAGCAGAGAAGATGGTGAAACATCAAAAATGGTGTTTTCACCTTTGTAGAACGGTATAAGCTTGTACAGCCCTGCAGATATTCACTGTGTAAATCATTATAATGTAAACACATTGAAACTCAAGTTTCAAATAATCTCTATAACCGTGTTGACTACTCCAATGCAACACTATGATTGGGAAAGAAAAGTATACAAATAATTACCACACGGAACTGATTTAAATGTGAAAGTTCCATCAGTGTCTGTTGCAGCATGACACAGAGCTGCTCCTTGTGCAGGATCACGAGGTCTATTACCAAGATCATCATGGCAATCAACCATTGACACATCGTCTGAATGTAAATAAATATGAACTCCCAAAATGGGATTTCCCTGCAAAGTGAAAACAAAACCATTCATAATGGAGACAACAGAACGCAAAATTTTAGAAAACATGCCATGAAAGAGCAGTTCAGCATTTTCTACCACCTGAACAAGGCATAAAGGAATGCATATTGTCATATACAAACATTCCACAATGAGAAAAAGAACTATAGACCAATTCACGGGAGTAGCTTGGGGGATCAACCTGAGCCCCAGCCCACCCAAGTTTAGTACAGAGTAAATAGTAACAACCTTTATTTTCCTATCCTCACGTAAACAAGCGAATTTGAGTTTGGCGACTACAACACTAAGTTCTATATTTTCTAATCAAATTATACAAATAAGTTGCATGATCTATACAAGTCAGGCCAAGCTTAAATGAATATGGAGCATTTGATGTCACCAAGCTCAGCTCAAACAATATTAACAAGTCAAGCTCTAGATTATTCACAAACAAGCTTGTCTTGTCTACTTTCCTGAAGGAGACAATCATGACCTAAATTATCATAGAAAACAAGTTCACCTGAGCTAAAACAGATCCGCGGATATCATAGCCAGGGACAAAGAAAAAGTCATCCACCATGGCATTTTCAAAATTCAGATCAACCTGCATGAATATTATGGTTCATCAGATCAATCGATTCTGTGCATCCCTTCACTACTAAATGATTGTGATGCACAACTGGTATAGTACAGTAAATAACTCCAGCCAGATTCATGAATACATAATAAAAACAAGACAGGCTGATAAAATGCCAAAAGGGAGGCCTGAAACCACCTCAGCTGCACCTCTGACTTGAATATTCAAGTCATGGCGGGATGCTTGCAATTTATACTTCCCTGTAGATCCAATAACAATCAGTCAGAAAGGAACTATCTTAATACAGATCTGATACGATCAGAAACTGGTGCAGGAATGAAACAATGATAATTCCTGCTTCCCAGCACATACAGTGCACCAAAAAAAATTAGCAGCATTGATGTAAAGTGTAACTTGACACATCCTCGTAATGTAACACCACGAAAAGAGTATCATTACCAGGAATAACATTTGTGAAGGAATATGTTCCAGAAGAAGTTGTTAATACTGACGAAATAACACCATCTCCGGGAGACAAAAGCTCAACCTTCACATTAGGTGGACCTCCATACTTCTGTGTACAACTATCCCCACCCACACCTCCCACAATTCTCCCAGATACAGTAAACCTGCATTAATAGTAACTAATAGAAACATGGATACATATATCCTGTAGTATATAATAACAAAGCTATATAGTGTCCATAAACTCATGGAGAATCAACTAAATTAAAGTATGTGAACACCACTATAACCGAACTTCACAACTTGAAAAAAATTTGACCAACCCTGTGAACTGAAAATTAATATCTTCATTGGCATTGCAACCAGTGTGATCAACAAGAACCCGAACCTATAAAAATTAACATCTTATGTCAGATAATGCTTGAAGAAGAAAAAAAACTGCTACCTGAAAAATTCTTCCTCCAAACGCATGGAAAAAGATATCCAGTGTACGATCAAATAAGTTTAAAAGATGCTCAACTTGTTTTGGATCCCACGACCATCCCTCTGGTCCCCTTGCTTTGAGAATAAATGAACCCTAACATTGTTTAGCACGAGGTAAATGTTCTTCAGATACTCGGATATTAAGTAACAGTCTAAAATCTTATGTTGTATTTGAGTCAACGAATATGTTAGAGCACATTTCTTACACAGTGCTCAAAATAGTAGAGTCATTATTCAAATATGAGATTCTCATGGAAACAAAACTTCATAGAAGTAATATATAAACCATTTTGAGACATGCCTTGTCATATACGGGTATAAAGTAATAACCATTTGGAGCACATTGTGTTCTATCTTTCACCAAGCCATCCAATGTCCTAAGCTCAACCTGCATTAAGCAATGTGAATCTAGAAACTTTACATTTCATCTTGCTCTAGGAACTTGGCAGCAATCAATGGAATTTATGGAATTCCTACCGATATATGAGAATAGTCCAACTTCCCGTCCGACTCCTTCCTGGATTTGATCAGTGCTCGACTCGCCTGCAGCAGTCTCAGAAGTGAAAATAAATACAAGTGCAGAAATGGATGCTTTACACTTAAACATCATCGATCTAATCGAACCACAACATCTCGAAATAAAATGCGATTGCTAGCTAATGAGTAGGTAGTCAATCACCTCAACAAATCCACCGCAGCCTTGTATTAAATCGGCAGCGGTGATTGATGGCAAGCATATGAATAGTGCCAGTGCGGCGGAGAGAAGAGCATAGCCCGTTGCCGCCATACTCGACAGTGAAGTGACGGGGTGAGTGTTAGTGTGTCACTGGAACTTTGCGTTGGCTCTGCTCCTGCAACACCTCCAGGGTTTTTCACGTCTCGCACCGGTTTGGAGGGGAGGGAGAAGAAGAAAGTCTGGCCACGCGCTAAAACATTAAGACCTTGTTTGGTTCATAGAGTTTAAGAGGAAAATGAAAAGAAAATGAGATGAAAAAAAAAATCTTGTTTGGTTAAAGAGAAAAAGAGAAGAAATGTGGACGAAAAAGAAAATGAGAAGCCAAAAAATGTACTAATGGGAGGGATAACCAAATTCTTCCCATTTTTTGTGGGAAAAATGAGTTAAAATCATTTTCTTTCTTTTACTTTCTAATTCTTTGAACCAAACATAGTGTAAATTCATCTCGTGTTAAATACACCCTCCTACATATAATTGTGTTATTATTTGAAAAACTTATACAAAAATTGTTATATTCTTCGTCCAACTTGTATCTAGGGGTGTAAACGAATCGAATCGAAACGAATATCAAAATATTTGAATTTGTATTTGTTTAATTTTTTTCAAATACGAATCCGCATCCGAATATGAGACGAGTTAAAAAAAGATTTGAATTTGTATTTGATTAATATTCGAATACTTAACGAATCCTAAACGAATAATTTAATAATTATACTCCAAAATTTATATGATGGACCAACATAGATTTTGAATAATGTAACTTACGATACTTCTTATACTATATCTATAAATTATATTTTATAAAATATAACTAAATAAAAAATGTTTTAGATATCTGTGATACGTTAATTTGTTGAACTCTAGCTTAGTAATTTAAATACATTTTATACTATATTAGTTTACTTGACTATTGATGTTGAAACATGGTGTGTAGGTATACATATATTCGAATATTCGAATATCACCCGAATCGAATATACTCTTATTTGTATTTGTATTTGTTTAATATTCGAATCAAAATTAATATTTGAATTTAAATAATGCGAATTCGAATCATTATATTCGAATACAAATCATGAACCGAATTAAAAGTATTTGATTTGCTTACATCCCTGCTTGTATCTAATACTTATATATTAGGAATAAATCAAGTCAATAGACTAATTATGATGACATAATTAGTCTATTGACTTGATTTATTCCTAATGTTGTGGGATTCAACTGGGTTGTTGTTGTTGTTGTAGACTAATTATGATGACAAAATATACAAAGTATTGAAAAAGATGGTAAGTGAAACACACATGTGGTCTAATTATTATTAATATTCGAGAGATTAAAGGCAACTAGTTGTTAAAAGCTTAAATGTTGTTATCCATGTGCATTCGTGTCCCTAGGGAAAAGACATTGACTCACCACAGGTGGCAACTTTAGCTAGGATCCAGTTTGGAATGACACATCTTTTGTGGCATGACAAATCCTAACAAGGACGACAGCCACCTTCACTATCCACTCGCCTGCATACTCTTCCTTTTCTTTCTCTTTAAGTAGCCAACACAATTTTGAGACCTCTCAGTTACAGAAGTATAACAAACCACACCTTTTGGCCAGTTTTCTTCAACAAAAACACGCAAAGCATTTAAATCATATTTCTCATCATATCCGGATGCAAGTTCTGAACAACTCAGTCTTGTAATCAGAAAAAGCTCCATTATAGAGTATCTAACATGAACTCATTTTACTACAAATCACATTTCATGACTTTTTTCACCGCCCACTGCCCTCCATAACCATCGACTGTCATAATATGGCTGGAGGGAGGAATAAGTGGGACGTCTAGAAAAGTACCAAAGGGAGAATTTCTCATGAACTCTTCGAGTAAACTGATTTTCTTCAACTTATTCTTATTACTTTTTTATTAAAATCAAATCAAATCACAGTTTACTTTAAATATAATTACAATCACATTAAACCAAATTAGAATTTACTTCGTATAATTGCATAAACATGTACTCCCCGTGTCCCTAAATCATTTACATTTTAAAATCTCAAATTTTTCCAATTATTTTAATTTAAATATTGATATAAAATAAAAAATAAAATGTACATACTTCAAAAATTTTACATAACAAAAACTTATAAAAATATTTTATTTGGTCAAATAGTACACTAAAGGTCCAAAACACAGTAACACATACACAAACAAAAAAACCTACTCCCTCTGTCTGAAAAAAACCTTCCCATTTAGACATTTTCTCATTTTTTTGAATGGTTGACTTATGAGTTGAAATGGATAAAATGCCCTTAAAAATGCTAGTGAATGAACAAGGAAGCTGGTCATCCATGGTTCTGAGTTCCGACCTTCGCCAGCCCCCACCGCCAATTTGAGCCCCACCACTACCCCTTCACCACCTGTGCTCCGACCATCTTCCCTAACCCCCACCACCACCGCTAGCCCAACCCTTTCCACCACCATCAGTCCTTTTATCGCCACTAGCCCCGCCACCGTTGGCATCCCCACCATCATGGTCAACTCCAAAACTGTCTCTTGTACCACCAACCCGGCTACCATGGCACAGATCTAAAATAAATAACAAAGAGAAAGGGCTGGTGGTGTAGATCTATAAGAAACAATGAGAAATAATATAGATATACACTCACCATCACGTTAGCCGCCACAGTTGCCGCCATAGCCCATATCTGGAAGAAAGACGAAGAAGAAAGGAGGAGGGAAGAAAGAAGAAGGGGAGAGAGAGGATAAGAGAAGGAAGAGAAGCAATAATCAAAGGAGAGAGTTGAGAAGAGAAGGTTTGAGAAAGGAGGAGGACGAAAATGGATGGAAGAAACTCGAGGAGATGGAGATTGGGCCATGAAAAAGAAAAATGCTAGGGGTACACCTTTGGTGTACCACATTTGTCCCCCACCACCACCTCCACCACATAAATGGGCAAAATCTTTTTAAAAAATTAAATAAATAAAAATTAAATAAAAATGGGTGGTAGAGAAGGCCGAAGGGGGTGGGGGACAAATGGGGGAGGAAAGAAAAAGAAAGAAAAGAAGAATAGGAAGAAAAGGAAAAAAAGGAAAGAAGTTATTTAATGAGAAGGGTATTTTTAGAAGGATTGGAGTTAAAATTAAAAATGAAAAAATTATTTTCAGACGAGAAAAAGGAAGAAGCTGGAAGATTATTTTGAGATGGAGGGTATAATTTTCAAATATTGGAAGGAGGGATATACCGGAGTATATTAGATAACTGAACTTCGGGTTCCGGGTCTTAAAATACCGCCCAAACCAGATTACACGGGTAATTTGCCCAACCTACCTACCTCAGCTCTCCCTGATCGTCGGGATTTCACATGCGCCTCAGCTTAAGAATTGTTTAAGTTCCTACCGGATGCGAAGCTCTGGGCGTCAGAGGTCACAGGCAAATCTAGCGAATCTGGGAGTTGGAGGCCATCGGAGGTGCGAGTGATAGCGATTAACGCCGTCGGCCGTGCGATTGTAACGATTAGAGAAGGTTTGGTGTAGCAGAGAAGGCTGTCGGCTACAACTTTTAGAGAATCATCGCTTGCAAAAGGCCCCAATTTTTCTTCTTCGAAATCAACAGAAACAATTTTACTCGTAACTTAATTATAATATCACAGATTCGCACCAACGAATTGGCTCTCTGTTTCATCTGTTTAAATTGCAGCAGGTAGCTTCTAGTCCAGTAGCCATGTTCGAATTGAAGCTGCGATAGATGGGACTTGGGAGATGGAGAAAAAACTGTGAAATTAGGAATAGAGTAGGAGGGCAAATTTGGGGAGTAAATGTAATTTTTTACAGTCATTATTAAGCATGCCAAGTCAAGAGAAGATAATTCCCGGAGGGAGTAATAATTCCCTGCATCTCAATCTTCATCCACTACCTAAAGCATGCTTCTACCTGATTCCTTTGGCGGACAGAAATTTGTGATTCTACAGAACCTCTCAGATCTGAATGGTTGATGTTTCGGTGCTAGTGATGTTGCACTTCATCCAGCGGCTGCTGCTGATTTCTCCCACTCAAAACGGTGTGCTTTTTTTACTACTCCGTAGCAAACTTTTCATTTTATCATTATCTCTGGAGCTCCTGCTGGTTGTTGAGCGTTTCTCTGGGATTGTACTTCAAGTAATCTTACAGTTTCATTTTTTTTGCGGTCAAACTGTACAAACTTTAGTGGAATGAAATAAAGTCTCCTATAATGATAATTCTATTGATATCATTTTGGAAAATCTGGAAGGAGATGTTTCTTAGTTCAGGGTTGTGGGTTTCAAAAAAGATCAGTCTTCGTAGGAAAATGATCTACTGAATTAGTTTCTGTGGCTAGGGAGAATAGTTTGATTGCCAATTGAGACACCCATAACTAATGCTAAACACCAAATTGCATGTTCCATATCACAATTAATCGGACATTGCCACTAGGAAATGGAGGTAAAAAAAACTCCTCTGGGGTAATCAACGAGCAATATGAACAATAACCCGTGACACCCTTAGGGCTCAGATTTCCTTCTATCCACTACGCGATGTTGGTATGTTAATTACCCCATAGGGGTTCTTTTTACAAATTTTACCTCCCTTGTGATTCAGGGGAGCCAAGGTGGTCATCAAGATCACAGCTCCAAATCAAATTTGATGCATTGTTAGCACTTTGGGGTGAAGATGAACGGTCTGGGATAGGATTGCTACATATGAACAAGAATCTGCGACACCCTTAGGGCTCAGCTCAGATTTCCTCTCCCCCAATACGCCACATTCTATTTCAGAAATGATGGCACATTGATTACCCCAGAGGAGTTCTTTTTACCTCCCTTGCCTAGATGGATGTCCGATTATCGTGATGTGGGACACAAATTAATTGTCATAATTTGACTTCATTTTGTGGGGAGGGCGTGAGTAGGGATATAGAAATCCAAGTATGTTGAATGTTGTCACTCCCGGGCTTGGGCATTTGCAAAGCAAAAGGTGAAATAACATTTACATTTTAGACAAGGGTAAGGACTTTGAGTTTATGGTTCATATGTTCCTTTTTAAAACTTGTCTTTTACCTCACATTGCAGTAGCATGTTCGCAGAAACTTACGCTAACTCCCTCGTTGTACTGACAAAAGAAAACAGACAAAAGGATGATCCTAGCTAAAATCTTATAAGGTTTACTTCAGTGAATAAGATGAATGATTTACATGCTTAGGCACATAAAAAAAGTAAAAACTACATAGAATATAGTTTCTTTTGTTGAAATATGACTTTTTTTTTGGACAAAAAGCTTATAAAACTTTTCTCTCCTTTTTGGGACTGAGAGAGTACTTACTATCATGAAATGAGTGAAGCTGCAAGAGTTTCAAGTACTTGACTTCTCTTGCAATTGACTTCAGGTGTGTTAAGGAAAGTCAATTGGTTAGTGCTGAATCAGTTGCTTGTGCTGTTTCATGTCTTGTTGGTTACTAATCTCCTGATTAAGCAAGCAGATGCTCAAGCCATGTCCAGTGCAACTTTGGCAGTGCCTGATTTACCTCTACGTTCCAATCGTTACATATTTCTTAAACAACTACGGTGGAAAGATACTCCTTATATTAAATCAGGTGCAGGCCCTGCTCCAGCCCCACGTACTCAATCTGCCCCATTGGCACCTTATCAACAAGGATCGCACCCTCCTTCAAGATCCTGGCTGTCCAAACCATCTATGAGGAGGAGTGAATTAGTTCCTCCAACTGCAGCACTTCTACCTCCAAAGTTTGAACAAGTTGCTCCTGCACAATCTAGTGCCAGTACTTTACCTTTGACTCAGCCACCTCTTTCACCTCAAACTTCAGGTAAGAATTGTATTAACATGAGAAGGCCTCACCGAATGTCTGAGCCTAATTCTTTATAGTATTCACTTTTATTCTCTTTATATTTAAATGCTTAGCACTTTAGCATATATCCTTTCTTTAATTTTTGAATTTATTTAATATGCCAAAGGCCCAAGACTACTATAGAAACAAAAACAAATCCAGTCAAATCCTGATTCGGTCTGGGTCAAAGTACAACCTAGCCCCCGGTAAAAAACAGAGAGGCAACTTCCTTTAAACAATAAAAAGCATTGTTGCATTTACTATCCAAAACCTCATAGAAAGTCATTAGCAAGGGATGTTTAATGTGTCATTTTGTTTTAGTCCGTTTCTTTATCGGAAACTAAAACATTGCCGAGAATGACTCTTTTAGCTCCTTTGGCAATGGACACAGGGAAAGTTGCATGATGTGTGCTTGCAAACTAAAAGTAATGTGCATGAGGAAAAATTGTGTGATGCATGTTAACTAAAATTTATGGGCATGTTTGTAAATTGTAAATGATCTATTTTACCCCTCGAGATGGACCCCCCCCCCCCNACCAGACATGGTCCTCAAAAGAGGAAGCCTGGATTGCCACTGTGTGTACCCAATAAAGCTTGATCTTCTCCTGTTGAACGTGTCATCTAACCAAAACTGGACTCTCTTTCTTGATGAATTTGCCAACAATTTGGGTTTGAAGACATCTCAAATTGAGCTAATCAACTTTTATCTTATTGATTTATCAAAACTTAATATCTCAATGGACATCACACCATACAAGGGAGTCAGTTTCTCCTCAGATGAAGTCACTAGAATAAACTCCTCATTGAATAGTGTCCGTCTAAACCCTGCACTAGTAGGTGGTTATAGGCTTCTCAATATGACCTGGTTTAGGGCTCCTGTCTCGTCCCAAGGTAATTTCTCATATATGACTTGCACATTAAGTTTTATCTACAAAACGTTATGAGCAGAGAACACACTATATAGTTTGGACGTATCTTATGAAGTGTTTTTTAATACATAATTTTGATTGACTCATGTATGTTCTGCAGCCCCTATATCTGCTATGTCGCCACCAATGACTGTAAATCCTAGCCGACCTTCCACACCTGCCCCACCCAGCTCTGCACATAAGGGTTACCACTCAAACATGATTCTTATTATTGGAATTGTTGCGGGCATATTGATTGTTGTGGTCATGTCCATGCTCATACTTTATGCCTGTGCTTATAAGCGAGGAGAGAAGAAAAGATTGGCCAAAGAGACAGGTATGCAATTGGCCGCATCATTTCAAAATTGTTGTTGTTTTCATTATGCTCATTTGCAAAAGTGACCAAAGCTTGTTCTACTATCACGTTTTCGTATCAAAAGCTGTTTGAAAGATCAAAGTGTTCTCAAATCTGAATTTGTTCTCAAATCATTTAAGTGTATCTGAATTGGGAGCATCCACTAGTCAGATTTTATATTTAGAAAGACGCGTTCTGGATTCGAAGTGCTTGAGATAGATTTATATTTTTCTTTTTTGCTTTATAAACTGATATAACACTTATTTTGTGGGTAGGTTTGGGGGGGGGGAACCCTTCACCAACAAACAATTTTTGCGATTGCTAACTTTTTTTTTGTTTTGTTTCATTTCACTTGTTCTCTTCAATAACAGTGAAGACTGGCAGGGTAGATTCAGTCCAAACTGTAGCATCCTTTGCGCATCCTACAAGTACACGGCATCTTGCATATGAAGAATTGAAAGAAGCAACAGCTAACTTTGCACCCTCTAGTGTCCTTGGAGAGGGCGGGTTTGGTAGGGTGTTCAAGGGTGTGTTAAGTGATGGTACTGCTGTGGCTATCAAAAGACTCAGTACTGGAGGACAGCAAGGGGATAAAGAATTTCTAGTGGAGGTTGAGATGCTTAGTAGACTGCACCACCGAAATCTTGTGAAGCTTGTCGGTTACTACAGCAGTGTTGATTCTTCACAGAACCTACTATGTTATGAGCTTGTTCCTAATGGAAGCTTGGAGGCTTGGCTTCACGGCAAGTTTTTTGGGTCCTAGATTCTATCATTAACACAATGGGTATATTGTATGTATGTTGCTATATTCATTTCCTATGTATATTACTATACCTATTCCCTATGATGTTTGGACATTCTTGGAGGTTAGCATTTTCACACATTGGAATATTTCTGATACAGAAACATATGTTTCTGTATCAAAATGTTTCAGGCTATTTACATAAATGATGAAACATTTTGGTACAGTTTATGTAAATAAAGAAATGTTTCAAAATTGTGTTTCTTTATGAGCAATTCCTTCCTCGATACCTAGACTGCAAAAATACTCTCAAGTGATTTCCATTAGCAGAAATATTCTAGATTTGAAGAGTTTATGAGAATTATATATTTCACCTCATGTATAATAACTGTATAGTTTGTTATTATTTCTTTTAAAATTATAGAGATGATGATTAATCAATGTTGTTATACATTTGAAGAAAATTATCTGCACAAATACCCTTTTATTTTATATATAGATACATTTCTCAGTGTTTCATTTCCAATGTTTTTCAGCGTGCCACACTTCAGATTGCCTTTTCTGCAGTATATAGTTTTTTTTCCTGAAACATGTTTAAAGATGTTATGTAGAAGTGTAGAACCATCGCAGCTCATTAATCATAAAAAATGATGTGGTTGATTAATTTGACAATAGTACTGGTTTAGTGCAGGTCCATTGGGGGCAAATTGCCCTCTAGAATGGGACATCAGAATGAAGATTGCGCTTGATGCTGCAAGAGGACTTGCTTATCTGCATGAGGACTCCCAACCTTGTGTTATCCACAGGGATTTCAAAGCATCCAATATTTTGCTCGAGAATAATTTTCATGCTAAAGTTGCTGATTTTGGCCTTGCAAAACAAGCCCCCGAAGGCCGAGCAAATTATCTGTCTACCCGTGTTATGGGCACATTTGGGTCAGTTTCTTCTTCTACCTTTTTTATACGGAGTAATTAATACTCCATCCCCATTTCTTTAAAATAATACGGAGTAATCTTTTTCCATTTTAAATGAAAAAAATGTGCATTTCATATTTTTCATGCCTTTCACACTATTTTCAATTTTTTAAACTCTGAAAAACTGGGGACGGGATGTAATTGATAAACCTCCATGGGGAAGGGTTACATGGACTAAATTGGGGAAAGCTCTGCAGGTATGTAGCCCCTGAATATGCTATGACAGGGCACCTACTGGTAAAAAGTGATGTCTATAGTTATGGAGTTGTCCTCCTCGAGTTGCTGACTGGAAGGAAGCCTGTGGATATGTCACAACCATCAGGACAGGAGAATCTTGTTACTTGGGTATGTTGTGAAATGTATAGTTGGCTTTCATTTGATCTTGTTTTGGTTTTGCTGTAGTAGTTGTACTCAGGCTCCGTTGTTTGTAGGAAGATATTTTACTGAAAGATATTTTCTTGTTTTCCTGTGTTTGGCACAAGTAAACAATATCCAGGAATGATTTTCCTGATTTTGGCACCGTATGATATTTTCCTTACTAGAAAATAATTCTCTCAATTCTCTACGGTCCGTTTGGAACCTGGGAAATACGGGGGAAAGAAAATACGCGAGAAATATTTTCCTCAAAAAAAAAAAACAAATCCTTATATATGGTGATCATAATTAAGAGAATTGTTTCAGGCCCGGCCAATACTAAGAGACAAGGATAGACTGGAAGAACTTGTTGATCCACGGCTTGAGGGGAAGTACCCAAAGGAAGATTTTGTGAGGGTTTGCACAATTGCTGCAGCTTGCGTTGCTCCAGAGGCGAATCAACGGCCCACAATGGGGGAGGTTGTGCAATCGCTAAAGATGGTGCAACGCCTAACTGAGTATCATCATGATTCTGCTGCAAACACTGCCAACCCTAGGCCCAACATTAGGCCATCTTCCACAGCTTTTGAATCAGATGGCACATCCTCAATGTTCTCTTCTGGTCCATACTCTGGTTTGAGTGCCTTTGAAATGGATATATCTCATACAGAGGTATTTTCTGAAGACCTGCATGAAGGAAGATAAGATGACTGACCATTCTTGTGATACCTGAACAATTGGTTTTTTTTTTGTTTTGCGCCGATGGATTGTGGGTGGTTGGTTTATTATTGGATCAGGTCATCCCTGGTAGAGAACCATTTTTCAGTCAATTCAACTGTTGGTTTAGAGCTGTATATATGTTTATTTTGATGCCCCTTCCCTTTCCCTCTTCACATTGGAAAATGTAATGTTGATCCTGCTTAGGTTTTGCCCTTTTTAGGCTTTTGGGTGTACCATAGTGTGCAAGTTAATGCAGCCTCTATAGTTGTATTCCTTACCTGTTTCTCACCAAGTATTGTCTATGCATAATTTTTGTTTGGTACAATTATATATAGTACTCACACATAATTAAATTGTCCTTAATGATCCGTGCATTCTTAGCTTCAAATTCTCTTAATTTTGTAAAAAAATGTTAAAAAAACATCTAGATTGCATTTGTTTAATGGCATTTTAAGGGGAAACGCTGCTCTTTAATATGCAAAAAACATACAAGGAACAAAGAGAATTGGGGAAAGAAAGAAAGAATAACAATAGCTAAGCTGATGATGATGATCCAATGGTCAATTACATTCTATGCTATTGACGAAGTTGCAAATAGTAATACAAGATTTGGTTCCAAGTATCAGGAACCCCAGGGAGGCACCAATGGCTGCAATCTTGGACACCAGCAGAAGAAGAATTGATTCCACCCGCGGGTCTTCTTCCGTATACGGACGGATGACCGTCAATCCTATAACCCGACAAACCGGTCACGTTCAAAACAGTCACCGGAGATCTCATCCCCCTTATGACCTCTTCCACTATCACATTCTTCTCAGAATAACTGCTGATATAACTCTCTTCTCCGAGAGGCCGAGAAGCTTCTCTGCAATGCCCGCCACTGTTCCATTCTCCACCATTGAAATGAGAAGGCGAAGAAGTTCTGAAGAAAACTCGGGTCTTTGCAGGATTTATGTTTGTGTCAACCCAGGATGCCCATGTCATTAGTGCTCTTCTGTAAGCTGTTGAAACATCAAGGTGCCCATGAACTTGATCCCCTTCCTGGTAATAATACCTCCTGTTTTTTATCATAAGTTTTGGATACAGTAAGAATAATGGGATCTAACGAAAGAAACGAGAATGTATTTGGTGCACTATAGTGTAAGACCTAAGGGCCATAAACATTAGAAAAACAAGAAAAAATCTGGAAAAACGCGGTGGCAATTTAGTAAATAACTTGAACTTTTATGCAACTGCAAAAATGTACTTCCATAAGGCTACCCTGCTTTGGTTTTGTGATGAGACCACCAATGAGCAGTGTTGAAGACCAGAATATCAGCACCCCTCCATCTGGACGATCCCTTATCAATCGCATCAATACGCAATGTCTGCCTTCGTTTCCTCCCCATCCTCACCTTACTCTCGCGCACCAAAAAATGCGTCACGTAGAACTCAACCGTGCATTTATAGTCCTGGACATTTTTATTTTAAGCGAAGAATAAATCGTCCTAAATTGAAAACAATAGGCTAAACATTTAAATTGAATTATGACTTGATGATGCTTACCACGAACTTGAAGCTATAATCTCCCTTCCCCTTGGTTATTCTTCGCCCGCGTGTCTCATAAACCTTCTTTTGGTCTTTGATGGCTCCCATCAACAAGCACAGCATAGATTCCCACTGGTTCCTATTGATCGAATCCCCAACGAATACTAACCTCTTCCCTCTCATCAATTCCAACATGTGGGTAGCATTAAACCTACAAGTAACTCTCACATTAGGAACATATTGAAGCAGAAAACTGGTAGAATGTTCTTTACGTTATTAAGCAACCAAGTCAACCAAAAGCTCGATAGTCAACAAGGTTGTGATACAATCCTAAGAATCAAATCAACCAAAACCTCAAGCTTTCCCAATAATGCCCAATAACACTTTACCTCTTTACCTCGGAATGCTGCAATCGCGGGGTTGCCAGCTCCATTTCAAGTACTCTTGATCTGTTCTTCCATTAGATTGACAACTAAACCCTTCGTCGATAAATGGACAAGAAACATCTGAGTACAATGGGTGGTAACTCTCATCAAACACCCATTTTCCATTCGCCACATCACAAACCACCCCTCCATCGATCATCTTCATCTTCTTCTTCTCAGTCACACTCAATGTCTTGACTGAATCACTAGTAGATGATATATGGTCTTTCTCTTTGACATTTTCAGACGGATTTACCGAAAAATCAGATGAATTCCCAAATTCCAACACATGGGCATCAGGAAGAACCCCATCATTCACAGCAATTGAAGAAAAATAAGCTGCACCAAACCTGAGATTTCCATTTACCTCACCAGCTGCGGCGGCTTCACTCTTGTTTCCCTTCTCTTGAACTGCGAAGGGCAAGGAGGCGGCGCTCTTCAACTGGAAATGGGTTTCTTGGGGCAAAGGAGAGAGCTTTAGGAACCAGACGGAGAAGAAGACAAGGAAGAGCAGAGTTAGGCCGATGGTGAGTGTAAAAACCATGAATCTTGCGCGTTTGATTGAGAAACTCTTCTGCTTCTCCATGTTCGGTGAGATTCAAGAAAGGGGAGTAGACCATGTACAATGGAGGGAGATTAACTGCGCTCATCCAGACTGTATAATGCGGAGATGGGCAGTTTCTTTTCTTTAATAAATGGAGTTTCTTGAATCTTGATGGAGAAGTGGGGTTGGTTTATTGCAGTAATTAATTAAAGATTGTCAAAGAAATGAATAAAGAGGGGTTGGTTACTTGGTTTTCCACAAAACGCCACTCTGCTAGATTCTCGTGAGAAAATTTAGTTTTTTTTGGTGGCTCATGCTAGGGTGCTACACATAAGATGAGAATCACACGGAGTATGTGCCAAAATCATAGATGAGAATCATACGTGCGAAACATGAATTCACCCATAGCAGTATCCATGTGGTAGCAACCAAACATTTTTTTACGGTACTATATATATCCCCCTCACTTATGGCATTAATTACATTTATTTTATATTGTAATTAAAAAAAATTTTGAAAAATTATATCCGCTTTGTTTAAATGTAATTGTTTAGTTTTTATTTTTTAGGACTAATTTTGAAATTCCAAATGGCCACAAGAGATTCTCATGTCTTTGTCAAATTGTTGTATGGACTTAAAATCGATGACGAACTTTTATATATACAAGCAAAATAAAAATTTTCATTTTACTAGGATAAATATTTTTTTAACTTTTTGGGACAAGGATTGAGCTTTTTTACTTCTTAATTTACTCTGCAGTATGGATTATAATTTTTTTTTGAGTATTATTGACTCGATTACAATGTAGACAAACTACAATATATAGTTTAATTAAGCCTTGATGGAATTTGATAATAAGTGAATTTTCATTAAATAATACTAAAATATATATCCTTTTTCCAATATAACACCTAAAAATTTTTATTTCTTAAATATTACTTAAACAATGTCCAATAAATGTGGACATTTACTTGAATAATGTCAAGTGACGGTAGATATTTACTTGAACAATATCGAGTGGATATCGAAAAATGGTACTACATTGGGAAAATTAGAACATATGGTACTACATTATATTGGAAACTCACTATATTTTAGTATTGTTGACTTATTATATTATTATTATAATTTATCATTTTACTTTATTATGATTATCTATCTATTCTCTATTTATACTCATGTAATCCTTGTTGGTAATTTTGGCTCATAACAGACAACTTTGGACATAAATTTAGTAAGGCCCACTAAATTATTTCCTAAAAAGAATCATGAACAATTAATCTTCAAAGTGAGGCGAGTATTTCGATATACTGTGCGTAAGAAATTATGCCCTTTGAATTGCATTCTAAAACAATTTGAGAAGGAAAAAAGAAATGACTCCTCAGTCCCTGCCGTCGCCCGTCTCACTTAACACGTCATGACTCGCATGCGTGTGTCAGTGTGTGTAGTGTAGTGTGTGTGCGCGAATGCGACTGGTTAACTATAAAATTAATTTTAATTACAAAATTAGGAATGAGTTTAAACTATAGGATTGAAAACTGACTCCACTTCGTTTAATTTCTGGATCCGTCCCTGGACTTGACTTGACGTATATGTGTGTGTGTGTGCAGATACCCTACACTCTCCGTATGAAAGAACATCCAAAATGTAGCTAGCTATACTAGCTAGATCGATGAATTAGCTTAGCTTTGACAACCAATTGGATCAATCAGCTAGCTAGATATATGCATATATGGCTACGTCCTAGTCCTACTCATGACATGCCATATACGGAGTATATGAATTATTTTTTCATGAAGCATGCATAACTCTATTTATAATATGGGTACGATTTCGTTGACAAAATTGATGATTCATAACTCCCTTTATTTTGTGACTCCGAGATGGTTTAGCTTTCCAACTTTTATAAGTTCTTACTTTTATTTGATGTGTTTAATTAATGTGGAGTACTTACCTTGCATAGCTTCTCATCACACTTTTGAATCAATTTTTAAGGATTGTAATGGTTTTGAATTACTTTTTAATGATATAAATTAAATTAAAAAGCTAAACTAAATTAAATATACTATCATCATTAGACGACTTTTTTTCAAAATGAAAACAAAAGGCTGAATGAGTTGTTAATTAAACGGACCTATAATCCACTCCATATATATAGCTAGCTAGCTAGCTAAATAATTAAGATGCATGCAAAGTGCCAACGATATATCGAACTGAAAGAAAACAAAAAAAATAAATAAATTAAAACGGAATAAAAAAGAAGTAAAAAAAAGCATATATTGCCACGACATCAATTGCCTTGTTATGTCCGGACATTTCATGTGCTTCCTCCCCACCACACTCATGCATGGCCACCACCTCCCTACAATTTGGCCTCGTTTGACATCAGTATTAGAGATTAGCGTTGATAGCTTTTATTAGTGTTTACGGTTTTAGAATTATTCTATATCAGTAAAATTTTATCGAAAATGCTAACGCTATTTGAAAATGATGTTTCCAAACAAGGCCCATATATATATGTACACCCCACCCCCTACCAAATACTACGTACCCTGTCGTATTCTATATTAACTAATCGAGTAATTTACGCAAACGTGACTTAAACATATCACTTTTTTTCCAAATAGGGCCGACCGTATTTTTTTCTAATGTTTGGCAATGAAAAGTTCTAAAATTTCCTGTCTTTGAAGATGTGAGTGCTTCGTTAATATCCAGAAAAAATGATAAGCATCCAAAACGACTACAAATAGATATTAACAATAATGTCCTTTGTTATTAGGTCATTCTATTAATATGATTTGTAGTGTTTATTTATAGAATCTACTGAAACGTCTACTTAAAAACTTCAACTCATTATAAAAGAATGGCATT